GTGCATTCTTGATGTGCTGAGACTACAGTTTTCCCAAACTGGCAAAGTGTGTTTAAGTGCACGCACAAGATACATAAATATTGTGTTACATATGGTGGTCCTACTTTTAATTAATGGATAAAAAGCTTACATTCATTTATCTGTTGAATTAACATTTCCATCTTTTCACCAGGAGCTGAAAGCTGCATAAGTCGTTGTCCATTCTCCATTTTTCCTCATAACAACAAGCCTGCATGTTGATAGAGCTGAGTGTGAGAGAGTAATTTACTTTAAGAATCTTAAAATTACATTTCCATTTCCCTAATTTATTTTGTCATGATTGCCATCCCATTCAAATTGCTTAAATATTTGCTTGTAAGCATGAAAAAGATATAGCAGCATGAGATGCAATAAATAGATGCCTCCCAAAGCTGGAAGTTCTGTCTCCAACTAACCCTTCTCCCGCTTCCATTATTCCCTTGAAAGTCTTAGTGGGAAGACTATGATAGAGTATTGAGCAGTGCCTGGCCCATCTTGCAAACAGTGGCTTTCTTTTCACATTCAGTGTAATGGAGCTGAGAGAGAAAGGGCACAGAAAATCTGTTCTGAACTGGGGCTTCAGGCTACCCAAAGAAGCATTTGTTTTCATAGCAGCTCTTGGCCTGAGTTGCTGTTTTATTTTTATTTTTTTAAACTGTTTATAAAAAATGGATCTTCTCTAGAGCAGGTTATGCAAAGGCCAGGCAACTGGAAACAAAACAAATTTGCAGGGAGAGCTAAGGTTAAGCCTACTGCCAAGAAAGCCAGGTTAAAGGTTTTTCATAATTTCTGAATCTGACTACAAGATCTGGATATCAACAAGGCCAGAAAAGACGTTATTTATAGAGCACATTTAAAATTGCATCTTGAATAACTTAAATGTTTTCTATTCATTTTACACCACTATGTATCAATGATTCAACAATAGTCAGGGACAAGATTTTTTTCAATCAGTGATACGGACAGAGACAAAATGAGTATTTATTCTGGTTAATGATATTAATAAAAGTATTGGCTGGAAATTTGAGATGTTTCAATCCCAGTACATTTGTGTGATGGCCCTTTTTCTTTTCCATTGCCATTGTGACAAAATATGATTCTCTTTTTCATTTTTGTTTGCTCTTTTCCAAGGGAAAATAGATAGCTCTGTGAGATTACAGGATACACCTCCTTTTCAGTACCAATTATTCGATTTTCATAATAAACTAGTTATCCAGAAGACAGCACTGGCAAACCACTTCCACACTGTTGTGAAGTAAATTATATGGACATGGATGTGTCATCACCAGGAGTCAACTGAAATCACAACAAAACTCTTATGTTGTGATTTCAGAATGATAATTCATTGTTTACAGCTAATAATTTCAATTTCAATCAATAACTTGCATTTGAGTAGAGAAGCTAGAATTGCACCTGGTCATCAAGTTTGGTTACCAGAATAATCAAAAGACATGCTGATTTTGAGAAGATCTATGTAATCATATAAGTATGGTAGGAACCAGTGGTTGGTGGGCATATTCTGATAGCTTTCCTGCTTCCAGCGACTACTTTATCCCATTGCATCTGTTTTCTGCCTTCCAACCAAGTAGTCCAAGATATGTAACATCTGTCCCTCTACTTTATCTTCACACAAATTGGTTATATGAACCATTATTTGAGATGATCTCCCTGCTGGTGATCAACTCTAGTAGTCACTTAACACTTAGCCAAGTATGTTATGATTGAAATAAAGTCTTCAAGCCAAGCAAAACTCTAGTTTTTTTACTACAAAACTGTAGTTTGGTTAGCAATAATCCAGGTATAGTTCCCCATTATCTTCTTCTGGGGTGATTTTTCAACTTTTCAATTTAGTTTATATCCCTGGAACAGTCCCATCCAACTATTCAAATGAGCAAGTTGTTTTTGTTTTTTCTTGGCAATATTTGCCATGATAGATACTCAAATGTAATTGTGTAATCTTAGCAAATTGTATGCTCCTTGGAGACAGGATTTTGCCTGTTTGGGCCTATGCAAGAAACATCAATACACAATAATTTCAGGTATAAATAAATAATTTAGAAGCTCAGCAGCTTACAGAATTGATAATAATATATGAATCAATCAAGCGACTGAGAAACTTCTGCCTTTCAATTACATCTTTAACATTTCTGAAACCTTTACACTTTTAAATGAAAGTCAAGACATGCTGCTTTGAAAAGAAGGCACAATTAATAAGCAGTCAATTAAAACCTCAAGTTAGGAAGACCTTAGGAGTATTCTATAACTTTGTGTAAGAGAATTTTTAAGAGAAATAAAGATCATAGGAGACAGGATATTTTCCCATTTTTGGTTGGGACTTCTGTATGAAATACATTTCCTAATTTTTATGTGAATTCTCAAGAAAGATGAAATGAGATAAGCATCTTAAAAGTTTTGCAAGGTATCACTTATGACTGATAGACAGTTTCATGGTTGCAGGCAAATTCAGAGAATATAAGACCACCTTGCCAACTACAAGAAAGTGCTCCCATTACTCTGGAATTCTCTTCTGATCAGAAAGCTGACATAAGGCAATGAAGGGCACGAGGAATTAGACTGGGCATCACCAAGCAAGCATCTGATTGCCAATTAAGTGTAGTGAGAACCTTGTGGTGCCTTCATGATTAAAACATGGTGTTACGCCACATGTTATGGATCACAATTGATTTCATCATCTAAACAGATTTCTAACTGACTAACCTCAATGAAGTACAAGACTGTAGATTTGGACTGTGGGACTGAAGACTTAGATAAGATTGCAGATCAACAACCATTTGCTTGCATAGGGCCAGCTTTGGGTGCTGTTCATTGGGTTAAGGGAGAGACAGCCAGTGGTAGCAGAACCAACTTTTGTTTTTCATCCTAACCAAATGTCACTCATTGTCATTTGTCATCCTCCAATTTTTTCTTACTTTTTTACAAAGAGCAATTAATTCCATAAGTAAATTACACATAGTCTGAAGGGATGCCTCCTTTGATCTGCTCTTCACTTCTTACAACTCTTGGATTAATCTTGGCAAGATTTTTCAGAAGTGGTTTGTCATTGTCTCCTTTCTAGGGCTAAGAGAGAGAGAGAGAGAATGACTGGCCTAAAATCACCCAGCTGACCTTGTGTTTAAGACAGAACTAGAATTCACAGTCCTCTGGTTTTTAGCCTGATGCCTTAACCACTACTCCAAACTGCTGAGTTATTGTAGTACATTCATGGAGTAGGCATGGACTTGGACAGGAAGGAACTTTGGTTGAAATCTTCCTTGGTCATGAAGCTTGTTGGGTGTCTTTGGGCAAATCTGTGCCTGCACAGAGATAGTGAAGATAGAACAAGAGAGACAGATATTCTTTTAAATGGAGGCCAAGACACAAACCAGAGCCCCAATTAAAATATTGCTAATCAACATGCCTGAGTTCTACTCTTTTCAGAACAAACCATCTCCATTCATCTTCCACAAGTTTTCCTCTCTGGACCTAATTTAAACTAACATGAGAGATCCGGCCCTGTTTTTCTTTTTAATTATGCTTAGGTATATCCGTGGACCTCTGATTTAGGTCAGGGTCTTGATATTGGGAAAGGAGGCATTCTCTTTTTTCCATGTGATCTAGATTTCCCTCCCCACAGATCATGGGACAGGGGAGAGGAATTAGATTCAACACAGTTCCTGGCTTGTCCTTTTGACAGCTAAGAGCATCCTTGAGCAGAGATTTGGAATAATTCACATATGAGGATTACGTGTTTTTCCCTTTCTCTTTATAGAAAAGCTTGGATTCAGATTGGTCCTCTTTGCCACTGCCTTTAAAAGCCAAGAAGACCAGAACACAGATTTTTTTTATCTAGTTTATGTTTCAGATCCTGTTAAAATATTATTTTATCCACATGAAGGCTGCCCACCTTTTTGTGAGGAAGGGATTCTATGTCAAGAGCCACAATATTGGACAGTAAGCTATTATATAGATGCCTTGATGAATGACCAAGCCACTGTCTTATGATTGAATGGCAACTGTGACATATGCAGTAAGTTCTTATATCAGCTTACATGCTGACTTTCAGGGGGCTAATTATGCAATACAAAGAGATTCAAACAATCTCAATCACTGTTGAAGCTATCCCAAGCTGAAAAGAGCTGGCCAAAATGAAAAAGATCCCAAAAGTGGAACGAGTCTGGCTTTCAAGGGAGCATATTTTCTTCTTTAGGAGCCGCACAGGAGAAGACCCTTACCTGTGCGCCTCCCAAACGGATCTCAAACAAAAAGGATATATGTGTGTGTATGTGTGTGCGTGTGTGTGTGTGCGTGCGTGCGTGTATTAGGTGGTCCTAATGCGCAGGCAAATTCACATCAAGAAACAGAGTCTCTCAGAGAATTAGGTCTTACGTTGTTGAGGGCTTTAAACCAACACCTTACATTGTGTTCAGAAATTAAACCAACACCTTACATTGTGTTCAGAAAACAGCTGACAAGCAACATGGGAAAAACATGTTCTCTGAATTATGCACCACTGAGCAGGCAAGTTGCTTCGTTTTTTGTTTTTTTTTAAATCCAGGAAAGCTTGAAGCCAGTTCTCTGGGATACCCCCCATGTGGATATTAAACTTTCTGAAAATTTGCTGAAAGTTAAGTAGTCGTGAGGGGCATTCAGTTAGAATTCCCCAGCAGAGGAACAGAGCAATCCAGCTGCTTTGAAAGAATTGAAAATGCAAGGACAAGAAGGGAGAACGAAAGGTATTGTTCCAGCGAGGGAAGTCTCTGGCTGCAGGGATGCTGGTGAAAGTGCCTGGAGTGCTGACTCAGAGAGCGCCTGGTGGCCGGCGACTGACCTTTGGCCCCTTTGCTTCCTCCTCCTTCCTGCCCAAAACCTCTTTGGTTTTCCAGAGGGAGGAGAATCTCAGCTCCTCAAGTCTTTGATTGGTTCAGGAAGTCAAGTCTAGCCCAGAATAAAAAATAAGAGGGAGCATTCTGTCAGCCGGCCTGCCACCCTCAGCATGAGCACCTTGACCTTGTACCGTGGCATCTACACCCAAGAGGGCTTCCAACAAGTCTATGGGGTTCCCCTGGAGCCGAAGAGCAGCAGCCTAGCAGGGATGGTGAAGGGCAGGCTGAGCCGCTGTTGCCACTGCTCCAAAGCAGCAGCCTTGCACTTGTTTAGAAGCAGGCTGCCTATTGCAAGTTGGCTGCCCAAGTACCAGCCGAAGAAATGGCTCCTGGGGGACCTGGTGGCGGGGTTAACCGTGGGCGTTGTACACATCCCTCAAGGTGAGTTTGTATGTGGGTGTCTGAGGGTGTGCAGGGGTGCAATTTGTTGCAGGGTCATGCAACAGAAGGTGAACAAAAGACTTGGGAGCTTGTAGTCATGTGCCCAAGAATTTTGTAGCCTGAACAGGACCAGCAATTCTTTCCTTTCGGAAAGATCTATTGAACTGCATAACAAAACAGGCAAATTTAGGGATAGGCAAACAATATCCTTGACTGACTCATTTCTGTTCCATACTTGTCCCTCCATCAATCTCTCTTTCTCTCTCTTCCTCCATAGATTTTTGTTGTTCCAAAATCAGTCTCAAATATTTTATTTCTGTTTTCCTCACAAGCCTGACAGGAATGCCCTACTTCTTACCTCCATTTTTGAAGGGGGGAGAAAATAATCTTTATTTCATTCTCCCTTTCCCTCACCTGTAGATTCTGAGAGCTGCCCCATTTCTCTGGGGCAGGAGGATTTCTACTTTCTTGTGCTTCCAAACTATTCCTATGTTCTTCTTTAAGGTCTGGTCTTTATTCTCCTTTCTACTTGGATTTTGATTGCTGTGTCTGCCTGCCTTCCCTTATTCCCAAAAGTGTTCCCTGATTCCATGCACAGAATCCCAAAATCCAGCTGTCATCCTTGTAATTCAGATCTCTACTGTTCTTCTAACCACCTCTCTCCTTTCACCTCTCTTTGCTTCTTCCTCTTTTAGGATTTTTGATAGGTAGCTTTTCTTTGCACACCTTATAATCATTGTCTGCTTTTGGATGGCTGCCTTTTTCTGCACCCTTACCAGGGAGGAAGCCTTATGAGTCCCAGTTGTCTAAGAAATTGCACACAGGGTGGGTAGTCAGCCTTGCTCCAAAGATTGTTCTCTAGGTTATCTTTCTGTCTCTGGTGAGAGTTGAGAGATTACAGCTATCCAGTGCAAGAGATAAAAGCAAAGTAGAACAAGGAGACACAGTGCCTAGATTTATTTATTTTTTTGCTTCAGACTGGACTCATGCCTTACTTGCCCTCCCATTTGTCCCTTGCCAGCCCTTGCTTTGGCAAGGCAGCTGAGCTGGCATTAAAGCCATGCATCCTGCCAAGTCCCCAGCCAAGACTGCTGTTGCGTGTCGTCCTCTAACTGTTGACAGAGAGAAAAAAGGAGGCTTTGCCAGCCATTCATGGATCCCATCAAAGTAGATTGGAGGTGCTTTGAACAAACCCTGAGCAGCACGAGAGAAGCTCTTTTCCTGTTAAGATGCCACAATCAAAATCCTGGATTTCTGTTTCCAGAGGCTGATGGCTGTTTACATGAAATGCAATGCAAAGCTTTCAACACGTTAAAGATGTAATAAGGATTTATTATCATTTAAACTTCCAGAGACTAGAATCCAATTCTTCTGGTCTGGGACCAGAATGGAAGCTATATAATAATTAAAGCAGAATAATGAGTGTCTTTCCAGAAAATAAGAGAATACAGTTCCCATCCAAGTTTTGAAACAAATCATACAGGAAATTATGTTCACACTCCCTGCATTGTGATGTGTTGGTGGAAAACATTTGATGTGGTTATAGAATATTTTCATTTATATCTATGAAACTTGGAAAGTATTCTTGGATAACTTATTGCCTCAAAGGTCTACTCTTACCCTAAGTATTTTTTTTTCAAGAAGTGCAATGGGGTGACAATATTTGTTATCTGAATGTCAGGAATGGAAAGCCTAGTAATGTTTATCTAATAACAGAAGCCACACTACTGAATCTAAATATTTGTGGGTTATAGATACTCATACAAGAGTGAGAGAAATGCTCTGCATGCGGAAGAACGTAGGCAAAGTTATGTTTGACTGAAGTATCAGGAGATACTCCTGGATTCTGTGGACATCAATTCCTCTCATCAAACAGGATAGCCAATGACGAGGAATAATAGAAGTTGTAATTCGATAGGTTGCATACTCCCAAATTAGGTATTGTTCTGTCAACTCTTTATCCAAGGTTAAGTCGTATACCATTGGAAAAGTGAAATAATTTATTGCTACTCAGAGTTGGCTAATATCCTCTCTAATCTATCAAGTTACAATAGGAAGGGCAGAAGACAGAGCTAAGGCGTTCTGTCCCTACTATTACCTCAAAGGAACTGATAATGAGTGTTTTGGCAAGGTAACCAGACCTACAACTTGGGGTTTATGTTCTTGAAAATCAAAATTCCTGTCCCATCTAATAGTTTATTCTTTGGGTTTAGAACCAGTGGGGATTCTATGACTCTTCCTGTTTGTTCTTCCTGCAGGAATGGCCTTTGCTCTGCTCACTTCAGTAGCTCCAATCTATGGGCTCTACACTTCATTCTTCCCAGCCTTGCTGTATATGCTTTTGGGGACAGGGCGTCATGTGTCTACAGGTATGTAAAACTAAGTCACATCCAGATAACCAACTTTCTTTCTCCTAACTCTGTGGAATCCTGTTTAAACTGCCTTCCCAGATTCATCTGGAATGCTTTGATTGTTTACAAATCTATTCAGGTATCCAGATATGACAAGCAGTTGTATTAACATTTCTGGACATCCATAGACTTTCTAGAGTTGAAATAGGCAAGTGAAACAACTTCACTTGCTAGCCAATAACTGTGCCTAGTCCTGTCTCCTGGGATCTGCACATAGGTTCCTTTATTGTGTTCCAGAAAGTAAGAGTCCAGAAAGTTTCTGTGTGTGGGAGGGAGGGAGGGAAGGAGAGAGAGAGAGTGAGAGAGGAAAAGAGAGAGAGAAAGAGAGAAGGAAGGACTGGCATCAAACTAATTGTGTGGAGGAGATGCTGCTTCTGAAGCTACACTTCCTGCTATGATATGGTATTTCCACAGATACCTCTTGGATACCACAATATATCAAATTGCTTGCACATGCATGCTTCTAACTAACAGCAATAGAAGTCACCTTGCATGGGTCTTAGGGATGCACATTCTTGTAGAAGACCTGTCTGTCAGAATACTCTTTGGGGTGCTTCTTGATGTAGTCTTGTTTGCAGATCTACATTCGTAACATAATATTAAGCATATTATACTTAGGCTAAGCATAATCTCATGCTTTACGTGAACTTGAAATGTGAGAATCTTCTGAGGCATTGGTTCGAGTGTTGATTTATGGTGGATTCACAGGTCAAGCCCTGCATTACTTACTGCAAAAATATTGAATCTTTATTGTCCATTTTCTTGATTTGTTCAAAGAATATTATGAGAAATCCAATCACTTCTCATACTTTTCTTTCTTATCTCAGAAAGAAGGAGGGGGGAAACAGGAGTTTCTTTTAATTAATACTGGGAATTATTTCCTTTATTATTCACGTGTATCAGCTTTTATGGGACACGGTGGCTCAGTGGCTAAGACAATCAGAAAAGTCGGCACTTCGGCGGGTCGAATCCCTAGCGCCGCGTAACTGAGTGAGCTCCTGTTACTTGTCTCAGCTTCTGCCAACCTAGCAGTTTGAAAGCACATAAAAAATGCAAGTAGAATAATAGGGACCACTTTGGTGGGAAGGTAACAGCGCTCCATGCACCTTTGGCATTTAGTCATGCCGGCTACATGACCATGGAGACGTCTTCAGACAGCGCTGACTCTTTGGCTTAGAAACAGAGATGAGCACCACCCCTAGAGCCAGAAACGACTAGCATGCATGTGTGTGGGAACCTTGACCTTTATCAGCTTTTCTGCAAGGCCAAGTGTATTGTTCAAACCAAGGGTAACTTCTATTGCTCTTGGTCCTGCAGTGTGTCAAAGAGTGTTACATAATAGAGTAGGGAGAGCTAAATTGTCATCCTTCACCTGTTTTGGATTACAGTTCTCATAAGTCCCTAATTCCTTGCCCTGGCAGTTGAAATTGGTGGGTATTTAGCCATGGAGATTAAAACCTTGCTTCCCTACTTCATCTTTTTCCCCATTCCTCAGGCACATTTGCTGTGGTCAGTCTGATGACAGGCTCCGTGGTGGAGCGCTTGGTCCCCATCCCGCAGCCCTCCAATGGCACAGGTTCTGCTGAAGTCACCTTGCTGGAGAGACAACGCATTGAGGTAGCTGCCTCCGTGGCCTTTCTCATGGGGCTTCTCATGGTAAGTTCCATGGTAACTTTAGCAGGCCTGCGCAGCTGGGTCCATTGGGGAGGCCTTGCATAACACAAGCGATTGTGTTATTGTGCTGTGAGAATCTTGGGTTAACAAGTTAAAAGGGTGTTCCTTCTGAACTTGAGGATTTAGTTTTGTTCACTACATGAATGGCTGTTTCATTTGATTTTATATATATAGATGGCTCTTCATATATAGGATTTTCAGTGATAAATAATTATGTGTTATTAATAAGGAATTATTGTGAAGCAGTTATCAATGTAATTTGACATGTTTCATGTGTCTGATGGTATTTGAAAATGCTGAAGTTGACTTTTGTAATTTTTCTTTTATGATAATTCCAATTTTACTGCTTTTGTTTTAATTTTTCTTAAGTTTAGCAAACAAACCAGCACTAATAAAATATTTTAATTTTTTTTAAAAAAATATGTTTTCATAGTTATCTGTTTTGTAGCGTTTATTTAGTGAGTGTGATAACAGTGAGGCCAAGTGATCCCTAAAGATTACTTAAGGTTACTGTCCAGAACTTTCAGTTCAGCAATGTGGCACACATATATTGGTGTATATAAAGATATATGCTTTGTTTGGTCCCAAAATTGCTTCTGGACAGTGGCCTTTGGTTTATAAAAGGACATGACACTGGAGAAAAGGAGGATTAGGGAAAAAATTGTTATCCGTATATTTCAAGCTTATGTTCACACAAGCATAATAATTAGAGCATTGCTTCATTAAAACAAAGATTGCTAAGATATTTAAAGGAAGTTTTAAGGGTTCTTACAACATATTTATAAACCTGAAAATAAAAACAGAAGAGAAATTTTCTAATTTTGCCTGGAAAGGTGCAAACTTAACCACAGCTCCATGTTGAGTGGCTTTCTCCACATGTGGAAGAGATAAAACCAAGCACTGCATCGTTTTTCAGGGACTTTCATACAACTAACTCTGGCATCTCTTTCCTTAACCCCAGGTCATGATGTTTCTGCTTCACTTGGGCTTCCTTTCCACCTACCTCTCGGAACCAGTGGTCAAGGCCTTTACGAGTGCTGCTGCCTTGCACGTGGTGGTTTCTCAGCTACAGAGCCTCCTGGGCATATCCTTACCACGCCCCAATGGCTACTTTGCCATTTTCAAGGTATGGAGTAATACACATTCTGGGGCCATGTATGAAAAGAGAAGATGCCTCGATGGCACAATAGTTAGAGTGCAGTTATATTACAATCAGAATTCTGTTGTTTATTCAAATGTACCAAAAATTAGGTCTTGAGACACAAGTTAAACAATGATAAAGCTCTCTATATAATTTACAATATAATCATCATCTAATCCGTAGTGGTGCAGTGGGTAGAATGCAGTACTGCAGGCTATTTCTGCCGATTGCCAGCTGCCTGCAATTTGGCAGTTCAAATCTCACCAGGCTCAAGGTTGACTCAACCTTCCATCCTTCTGAGGTGGGTAAAATGAAGACCCAAATTATTGAGGGCAAAATGCTGACTCCGTAAACCACTTAAAGAGGACTGTGAAGCACTGTGAAGCAGTATACAAATCTAAATGCTATTGCTCATCCCTAATCCACCTACCCTTGTTCTAATATGCCGAAGATGTTCGTGTCATGCCTCTGTTGGAGTCTGACTCTGAGGGAGAGATTGAACAGCTGACAGGGAGGGGGAGTGTGGTTCCGGTGGTTGTGGAGGAAACTGGGGAAGGGCACAGGCCAGATGGGCATTCAGAGGAAGACCTAGACCCATCCCCTCTTCATCCTAGGGCACGCAGGGAGGAGCGGATACGGGAGAAACGTGAGTGGTGTGGTCTTCATGGGCTGCGGCTGGGAGGACTGGTTAAAAGGACAAACTGCGCATGGCAAAGTTGCTGGAAGCAAAGGGTGCATTCTTGTCAGAGCTTATCTGTGTTTTGGCTTCCTCTCAACTGTGGTTGCTGCTTATCTGGTAGAAGTCTGCAATTAATCATCCTTGCTTGCTGTAGTAATTCTTTCAGTGTGGTGTGTTGGATTTTTTATTTCAAATTAATTTTACTTTGGGTGCGGACTGAGTTTACTCCCTCCATAAACTGTTTTTCTTTAAGAGTTTGATATCCTGCCGAGGATAATTGGACATTGGGGCCAAGTTGGAGGCATTAAAGGGACTTTCTTCTATTTTTGTGACTTCGTTATTTTTGTGTCACATCCCGGGTGATCACTGTTTGCTTCTCTAAGCGACTATGAGTCTACCCTTCTAAGTAGGCCACTTAAGAAACTGGCACTTGCAGGAATGTTCTTTATTGTAGCATGAAGAATAACAGAATATTGAAAGCCTGCCGAAGCTTTTACCTGTCTCTTCTTAATACAAAACAAATCAAGACAGGGAATTTTGAGTTTCTTTCTCATGTTTTCCTCCATCTCAGGACTGGGTAATTTCCTCTTCTGCTAAACAGCTCTCCTGTACCTTCCTCAAGGTTTGCATTGCATTTCTTGTCAGTAGGTTTTCTTACAGCTTAGCTATGTTTTGTTTTTCCTCCCTTCCTAGGTTACTTTAGGCAAGATGCAATGGATCCTCAGCTCTGCTGAGCCAGCCTACAAGGGCCCTTAGTGACTGCTGCTGGAAGGGTTCAGTAAATTCAGTCACTGCCTTGTCTTCCCAGGCTGCTCCATGAGCATATGTTAAATTCTGTTTGTTCAATGGGAACTATCTCTGTGTTATTTCCTAGACACTGGCATCTGTTGTGGAAGCATTGCCCTTAACCAACATGGCAGAACTGCTTATCTCTGGGCTCTGCTTAGCTGTGCTGGTCCCGATCAAAGAAATCAACCACCGCTACCGTAGCCGGATGTGGGTCCCCATCCCAGGAGAGATCATCATGGCAAGTTCTGAGCCTCCACTCTATCGAAATACAGCCACTGACCACCCTAAGTTGGAGAAACTCATTCCTTAACTTAACAAATGGATGTACACAGAGTTCATTGTTTCCTTTGTCTGTTTCTTTAGGTTATCAATATATTTAGGTTATAAACATACATTACACCCCCTACAGACACATACACAGACACAAAAATGGAGACCAAAAGAAGTGATTGAAAGAACAGAGGAAGAGCTTGTAGCAGAGGTGGTATTCAGCAGGTTCTGACCAGTTCTGGAGAACCGGTAGTAGAAATTTTGAGTAGTTTGGAGAACCAGCAAATACCGCCTCTGATGGGCCCCACCCCCACATATTCGCTGCCTCCCATTGAGTCTGAATGGCTGGGTCTTTTTTGGTTGCCCTGCACAGGAGAATGGAGCTGGAAAGCAGGTTAGAGGGGTGGGGAGGGAATGGGAGTTTGCAGTATCCTTCCCCTGCCATGCCCACCAAGCCATGCCCACAGAACCGGTTGTAAAAATTTTTTGAATCCCACCACTGGCTTGTTAGGTATGTCATTGTTCCAGTAGTGGTTATGAGAAGAAAAGCTGAGTGCTCTACTTAGGACTAAACTAGAAATGATGTTAAGCATTCTTTTGTATTGAACACATCATTTAAAAAACAGAGAAGCAAACAAATAGCTGTTGAAATATCTTTGGGCTCATCCTCATGACACAAATGTGGCCTTAAAGCAGCTTAAAGTTGTTGTTAGTTATTCCATTTTTAAAAGGATGTTTTCCCTCTTCTTCTTACCCAGATTGCCATTGACAGGCTGTAGCACAGTGGTCGCCAACCTTTTGAACCTCAGGGACAACCAAACTCATAATTTTAAATCCTGCGGACCACTAATATGAATTTTGATTGATGGTGGCTTGCTGACATTGGTGGGAAAATCGGTCCCATATTCCAGAGCTGCAATAATCACAAGACTGGCCCTTTGGTCATCCTGGAGCTGCTGCTTTTCTGCAGAGACCCTGGGAAAATCCCCCAAAAAGTCTGCAGGAAAATTCCCCACCCCGTTTTCCTACCGGTTGATCATTCTTTATTTGGGATCGCAGGATACGTTCTCCAGCTCCATTCTCAGGGGGAGAGAGAAACTTTTGGCTTCATGCAATGGAAGCAGCCAAAGCAGCAGAAGTCTTTCTTTCTTTCCCCCAAATTCTGCCAGAAATGATTCTTTGTGAGATTTCTTGTGCCAGCACAGCCTCTTGGAGCGGGATGCCTTGCAGGGTCCCAAAGACTCATTTCTGGAGGAGTTTGAGGGAGAGAAAGAAAGACTTCTGCTGCTTTCCTTGTGTACAGCCAAAAGCAGAAGAAAGAAGCGGAAAGAAGCAGCCTGGTGGCCAGGCGAGGTGCGTGGGGCAAGTGAGGCAAGTTCCCCCCTTCCCCCCTTTCCCCCCTCCCACCACTACCTCGTGTTGTTCACAATGCAAGTGACGCAAGCCTTGTATTCCCACGGGCCATGTGGGCGGCACAGCCTTGTGTTCCTGCACAGCCTGGATTAATTGCTTTGGGGGGATGCTTTGGGGGTGATGTTTCCCTGCAGACCACCAAAATTTTATTGTGGACCACCAGTGGTCCGTGGACCACCAGTTGTCAACCACTGCTCCAGCATGTTTCAGTCACAATCAAGTTGCTAGCATAAGCAGGGATGGGCAGCTTTTAATAGCCAGCCACTCCTGTTGTGGGCATATCCTCCAATCACTGGAAACTGCCCCTCACCGCCATTTTGTCTTCGGCTGCAGGAGAGACTGAACAGCTGGCTTCTGCAGACCTACTTGCCTGACCCGTGCTTTCTGCAGCATTTGCCAGGTCCTCCTAAGGTGTAGACACCTTACAAAGAGAGTTTAGCATATTTCTGAAAAAAGTACCGAACCTATGCTTAGACAACGGGACTTGCACTGTTTCAAAAAATAGCGCTAGAAGTATGCTGCGTGGAGAATTGATTAAAACCAGGAGAGATATCTAGGTTCTGTCAGCTATGGGTTGCGGGTTCTGTCGCCACCGAGCACATTAAAGATTTTTCCATGGCTTCTGTCAACCGTAGGTTTTCTCCCGTTGCACTTTTGACTGGCTTTATCACAATGGGAGGGAATGGTGCCATTTCACCTAGTCTGTTCTGCACTACTGACATACTGCCAGTGTCGCCATTCTGTTGCAATATTTTGCAGCACTTGCCCAACAGAAACACAAGTTATATAATACTTGATCTTCTTTTTAAAGACATATATGACGGCTCTAGCTGACATAGAAAAAAAAAATCCTTAACTCAGTTCAGTATTCATCCCTAACACACTTAATAAATTCAGGTTACCCTATTGCGGCAAAATGTACCTGAGAGATCAATAAAACTTGGAGAGACTTGATTTTTCAGATCTCCAGATATTAACAGCTGCAATCAATTTTTTTCAAAGATGATGGTGTTGCTGGCTTCTTTAAAAATAAAGATGTTGCAGATAACACTTCTTTTAATTATTTGACTTCTTGCGATAGGTACTGCTGGCCACGGGAATCTGCTTTGCTTCCTCTCTGAATACCCACTATAATGTACAGATTGTTGGGCACCTCCCAGCAGGGTAAGTTCCTTCTCTGTCTCCATTTTCCCCATTTTGCACATTGGCTAAAGGCAAGGGCACTGCCACTCTATTGGCATGGCATCAAAAATGCAACCTCTCTGTCTTTGCCTGATGCTCTGGATTGGACCACATGACGGTCAGTTTTGCCCTGGAGATGGATGACGGGGTGGGGCAATGTATGATCTCTTTCCCAGCACAAAGTGATTCCCATTCCACCATTCTTTCATGCAGGTTCCCACAGCCCCAGCTCCCAGCTCTGCATCTGCTGCCCCAAGTGTTGGGTGACACGGTGGCCCTCGCTTTTGTGGCCTACGCCATCTCAGTGTCCTTGGCCATGATCTACGCTGAGAAGTACCACTATGTCATTGACCCCAACCAGGTGTGTGCCCATCCTGGGAGCCTGGGTCTCCTCAAAAAGGGAGAAATGGAAACATCCAGTCAAGGAGCTCATCCCCTTATAGAATATAACAGAATACTTTATTGGCCAAGGGTGATTGGACAGACAAAGAATTTGTCTTTGGTGCATATGCTCTCAGTGTACATAAAGGAAAAAGATACGTTCATCAAGAATCATAAGATACACCACTTAGTGATAGTCATAGGTTACTAATAAGCCATCAAAAATACCAGGAAACAAATAAAACAATATAAATTGTAAAGATACAAGCAACATGGTTATAGTCATAAGTGGGAAGAGATAGGTACTAGAAAGGATGTGAGGAATAACAGTAATACAGTCTTAGTAAATAAGTTGACAGTGTTGTGGGAATTAGTTCTTTAGCAGAGTGATGGCATTCGGGAAGCTGTTTTAACTCCTTGTATCCTGAAGGATCTGATTTTCCCCTTCTTCCTTTTACTTTTAAATTGACAGCCAGCTTGAATGGGCTTCTGATTCTGACTTGAAGTTTCAGATTGATATCACTGACGGACAGAATAAGAGCTACCCAATTCTTGATTCCTTTTCACTGGACTTCATCAAGTAGCTAAAAAATGTCTCACAAAACTTGTGTGAGGCCAACACTCCCATTCTTAAATTCATTGTGCTCTTGCTCTGCAAATGGAAGCTTTCATTTCAGAATCTGAAGTTTAGGGCTGAACTTTGGTGTAAAAGTTCCTGTAGTTGGGTTCTGCACTACCCTTTTATTTTCAGCCATGCTTCAAGTTTTGCTGAAAGTAAAGCAATGGATGTTTCTGCCATCTTCATTATTGAAGATGGTGGGGTTTTCCTCGACTTGTTCCTCAACTTGGAGAAGTTTTCCCTAAGGTGCATTTTGTTCACATTCACTTTAATAGGCTTTGGCTAAGCATTAGAGTAGACATTTCAAAGCCAAATCTCACAGTACTTAAAACCAACCCAGATTTTAACTCTCAAATAGCTTTTCCAGTTGAGGAACACTGGAAACTATAATTTTTCTGAGATTCTTACTGTGGTCTTCATGATTTTCCAGTATTTGCTGAATTCCATGGAGAGAGGGAGATTAGATAATAAATCCAATTAAACCTGTGCTCTATTTGTGCCCTAGAACAACCAGAGACCAACCTGCTCTTGTTCTCCATTATCCCACAGGAACTTCTGGCTCATGGTGTTTCAAACCTAGTCTCTTCCTTGTTCACTTGTTTCCCCAGTTCAGCCACTCTGGCTACAACTAACATTTTGGAGAGTACTGGTGGACACACACAGGTACTTGGAGAAGGTCTTATTTGGTACATTTTTTTTTGCTGTTTAAATGCACCAGAAACAAACAGCAGATTGCTTGAGATATTAAAAAAAAAAAAGTTCAAAGCACCGAGTAAATTTGCAAAAGCACGAAAAATGTTTGGTTTTGTTCTGGATGTGGATGTGGCAGTAAAAGTGGCTGGCCAACTTTTTTTTTCTTGCCAGGGCTTCTCTGTCTTCGAAACGTGCTGACAAGTCCTTTGGGAATAAAATATAGAAATGAGGCCAAGACAAGAACAATACCCTCCTGTCTTCGTTTATTTAAAAAAAAAATTAAAGCAAAGAAAAATATTTACATTGGTTTAAGGACTGCAAATTTCTCTGGAACATGGAGATGATGGAGAGCAAGGAGAGTTTAGATCCTTAGCCTTGGATCTGTGGCTTCTTCCTTAAGGACTTCGGTCCAATCTATTCATTACCACTTTTTTCTCCTACCTAATGTTGAAATTTCCAACATGGGGGAAAAATGATATCACCGATTGGAGAAGAGAAAGAATTTTAACTAGACTTTCCTATCCAAAGTGCTTTTCTGCCAGTGTTAGAGGGAGAAATCTGTCCCATGCTTTCTGGAGATGGTACTATAAGTTTGCTATCTGGGAAGCCAAAGGATTGCTTTGTATTAGCATAATGGTGAATAAAGATATGTTTATCTATTTGCTACCAATACCTCTTGCGTACTATGCAATACAAAGATTTTTGTGTATGTTTGGTTCCCAATAAACTATTGTCTTTCTGTTAGTCTGCCATGACTTAACCAGCCTTCCTTATCCACAGCTTTCTGGACTCTTCACCAGTGCCGTTGTCCTGATTGTGTTAATATGGATTGGACCTCTCTTTCATTATTTACCAAAGGTGAGCTAGATGCAGGAATGGGTTGGCAAAACCCAAGGAATTGTGGTTCTTTTTTTTAAAACTACTCCTCAAATGAGAATAATTAATGTGTATATATTTAAAGTGTCTATTGTATGTATAATTTGGATAGCTTTGATAAATGATTGTGGATTGAGGCTGTTGGGTTTCTTTAATAGGTGTTTTATTTATTGGGTTACTTTTGGTTAAGCCTAAGCAATGCTTAGCAATGGTAACTGGCAGTGAAGTTTCTCAAGAGGGCCATTGTGCCTTTAACAAGAAGCTTCCTCCTTGTGACCTTGGCCTTGCCTTGCTACCTTTTCAATGTAGCTCTGGAATTTCTAATCAACTGTTCCTTCATTGTCCTTCAGTCAATCAGTTCTTGGGTGTGGGTAGGTTATAAGGACTAATTTCCTTCCAGTAATGGTTTTCTTAAAAAAAAAAAACACTGTTTCAGAATTTAACAACCAAAAAAAAGAGAGAAGACAGAAAACTATTAACGACTACTAAACTGTCATTTGCAGGATATAGGAGCAAACTATTTAAGGCAGAGATGGTATTCAGTAGGTTCTGACCAGTTCTGGAGAACAGGTAGCAGAAATTTTGAGTAGTTCAGAGAACCGGCAAATACCACCTCTGGCTGGAGATTTTACAGTCTCCTTCCCCTGCCACACCCACCAAACCACGCCCACAGAACCAGTAATAAAAACTTTTGAATCCCACCACTGATTTAAGGATACATTCAATGGAAATTCAGTCATGTTGCATCTCCACTGAACAAAAAACAGTTACACAAAACTAAAGCTATAAGAAAGAAATTATTAAAGTAAAAATACAGTATATATTTGGGAAGGGCAGATGCAGGCTAGTTTTTTTCAAAAAATATACTAGGAGAATTTTAAGCATAGACATGAGATACCACCATTTAAATTTTGCATCCAATTGTAGAAAAACAGTGTCTTAATAATGCTAAGATCGCACAGTATAGAAGCCCATTCTTGCAGATATTAGTAAGATTGATGTGGACATGGCAGCTCTTAAAATCTAGTCTGGAACATGGTTAAATCCTATCACTGGATTTAGATTTATCTAAGTATCTGTAGCTTGTTCTGAACCCAAGATGTAGCAGTTCAGTATCCATACCAGGCAATTTAGAATGCCAAAAGGTGAGAAGCTGGCCTTTTCCAAATAGTTTCCAACAACTGTTATCATCTGTGGTTACGACAATAAACCTATGTATGTATATATTGACTAGGGATAAGTTGTCGTTGAACTCTTATATGAGATCCCCATCGTTACATCATCAACTAGATGCTAGTGAATTCCTATTGAGGCTTTAAAATACTTCTCCTTAGCAGGAAAGAAGAACATCTGGAATAGATAATGAAAGATAAACAAGATGATGTCAATGGGAGCTCCTTTGAGCAAGGGAAAGTCTACTCTCATTGAGAGAAAAGGCAATAAGAGTAATTACTGTACTCTAGATTAAGATCTGTGTTTTTAGACAGATACATTAAGCTATTTTCTGGGTAAATGAATAATTTTTGTTCTCTCTTTTCCCGTAACCATGTTGTCAGCTTTGGAAGCCATATTTTACTTAAAAGTTTCCATGTTGCCACATCGTAGTTCCTGGGAATTTGGGAGGGGGGATTTCATAAAGTGGTGGAAGTTTAGACATAACAGCATTCTTCTCATAAAGTCAAGGACAAGTTACTCTGCACCTGGAATGGGGTGATTGGAGGAATGTCTCTAGTTGGGTGATTGGACCATGTGATGGATTGGTGGGTGCAGAGGAGGCGTTTTGACTTTCAGTTATGAAGGGAAAACCTGGAACTCTCAGATTCAAGTTTTCCCAGCTGTGCCAGCATGACTTCTTTCATAAATTCTTACTTGGATGAACTTTGTTTTTGAGTGTTGAATGAAATGGGGAGTTTCACTGGAATGCTGGTATGTGTTTTGGTTCATTAAAATAATAATTTTCTACACTCCTGCTTACTGAAGTCTACATTCATAAGTATCATATAACCACTGCAGCCAACGTATCTATAAACCTGAAAATAAAAAAGGAAGGAGATGTCCTACTTTTGTCCTAAGAAGGACCAAACCCACAATTCATATTGCTGGTGGCAACTTATTATTGAAGGAGGAAATTGCTGCACCGAGAAGGCCCTGGGTGGGATTGGGAAGGAGGAATTTTGTCAGGTAACCCAGAGGAGAGATGTGATTTGAGCAGGAGAGGACATGTCCATCCTGCTAGTCAATCTTGGCCTGTTTTGAAAAGACGGTCTCTTTATGTGATTCCTGGTTTCTTGCTTCGTGTTAGGCTGTCCTAGCTTGTATCAATGTCACCAGCCTTCGACAGATGTTTCTGCAGTTCCGGGATTTACCTGAGCTTTGGAGGATCAGCCACATGGACTTTGTAAGTGGCCATAGCATCTGGGAATCTCCTAATTCTGACACCTAGCTAGCTATTAAATTGAAGCTTTATACTATAGATGTTTCTTCTCCTATAACTGTTGACATAGGTGCTCAGAATGTGCATTTGGATTCTGTTATTGCTTTTGTAATTGAACTGCATCTGTTATTCTGCCATTCATTTAACTTATGAAGTGCGAAGGCTGTTCCCAATTGAAAGAGGTGATAGGTTGGAATGGGATGGTCTCTTCTGACCCCCATGGAACTTTCTGTGCAAGTTCAGAACTGGGTGTCTCTATTACTATCTCTTCAACTCTTTTGCAGGCTGTGTGGATGGTCACGTGGCTTTCCGTGGTTATGCTCAGTGTGGACTTTGGCCTGGCAGTGGGGGTCGTGTTCTCCATGATGACCGTTGTATGCCGCACACAGAGGTAACTTCGTAGTAGTGGTCTTTCCGTTGCTATGTTGTAATGCTGAATGCTGGTTTAAAGCCCAGCTGTTGGGATCCAAGGTCCCCTTGTGCTAAAAAGATCATTCTTGAAAGGGGATCATTAAAATTAAGGCAGATTTTTCGACCCCATCTCTTGTCCTCGGCCATACGGCAGGGCAAAGTCTTCTTTGGTTTCCAAACACCCATGTAAATGTGCAGAGTACCCTCTAAGAGTGTATCCTTTGGAAATGTTCTCTCTGCCTTGTTCCCAATGGCCACCCAAATATTGTCTGCATGCTTCTTGGGGTGGAAGCTATTCTACCCAATGTAATACCACTTTCCTCTGTATGCCTTTATTTATGATTGAATAAATAAAATGCCATTCATTTTCCAGGGCTGAATGCTCTGTTCTAGGCAGAGCAGCTGATACGGAAATCTACAAGCCTGTGAAGTACAATAGCAAGGTAAAAGTGCTGGAAATTGTTCTTACTTACCTGGCCGGGAGAAAGTCTTTGGACTCTCAACGGGACTAATTCCTGTGCTGACAGGCATAGAGGCTGCCTTAATATAGAGTCATCTTGCCTTGGAACAAGATGAAGTTATTTTATTCTTAATGAACGGGAGGGGCAATCTCTTTGAACGAGAACAAATTGTTATAATGCTCTCATTCTAGAAGTTCAGAGATCTTCCAGAAATGTAATTTTATTGCTTAGACCACTTAACGGGGGCATTTAATTTTTAGGGAAGAAGGATGTTTGTGTGCTGGCTCTGAAGGATGCTACAGTGCTGGCTCTGAAGTCTAGTCTGTAACAGGAGCATGGCAAAGCTTTGATGATGTTATCCATTTAGTTGTGTGCCAATTCTATGGGCTGGATCTCACCACATCTTCTCATCTTGTACTGCTTCTTTGAGTTTTTCTATGTCTGGCTGGTGTCAGCTTTGATAGTGTCCAGCCATCATGTTCTTTAGGAGCCTATTTTTTTAACCACTAACTCTTCCCAACATAATCACTTTTTCCAGTGAATTCCCTTGCATGACATGGCCATGCTTAATTTGCATTGATTAATTAATTAATTTGCATGGCATGGCAATGATTAATTCCCTCCCATTTGTACCCTTCAGAAATGTTGGGTTATATCCTCTAATCTTCTTCATTCATTCCTTTGGGTAGCTCCCTGCTCACACTTGACTGTGAATGGTGGGATTTCGAGCTCAAATTATTTGGTAGGTGTCAGATGGGGAGAAGTCTGCCATATAGGTTTCCCAAACCCAGTGAATATAAAAAATATAAAATCTATGTTTCTATGCTTCTATTCCATGTGTTCTGTTTCTTCTTCTTAGTGTTTTGAGATCCCAGGTGTGAAGATCTTAAGTTACCAGGCCCCCATCTATTATGGGAACCGCAGTTTTTTTAAAGATATTGTCAGCAAGCTTGTGGGGTTACAGCAAGACTGGGAACATCCTGAGGATTCACAGTTTAACAGCAGTATCAAAATGGACATCAGTACAGTGGTAAGATTCCTGATGAAAGATTGCAGAGGAAGAGATACTATTTTAAGCTTTTTTTAAAACTGAATAACTAATCCTGGAGTTTTGGATGACCTCAAGCCTGATGATGTTAAGTTAAAGTGCTTTTATTCCACCTGCATTCAGATAGATTAGACTAGATGATGATTAGATTAGATTAATTTAGATAGAGGTTCAAGATGTCTTTTATTGATATCATTTTAAAGCTGATGTTAAGAGTTTTCTTTTGTCTCTTTCACATTTCCTTTCTTACACCAGAGCAAGACTGAGTTGGATTATAATTGTCATTAAAAAGCAAACAAAAAACAAAAAACATATTACCATGTCTTCTGTCCCATCTGGGACAACTGGATTGATTCTGGTTGTACACCATGGGCAGTTTTGCCATTCAGGTCAGAGGAACAACCAGGAGTCAGGGGTATTTTCTGCGTGTGTATCAAAAAAACAAGATGGTGGCCACACCTCTTTGATCAAAGCCTTTCTACATGCCTTATGACATATGTAAAAAGTGATGGGGTTTTGATTACAGAATTGTGGCCACCATATTTATTAAGTTGTAAAAGAATGAATTCTGTACAGTAGCTCTTATATATACGGAGATTTAAATGGGGCATAGGTCAAGATGTTGGCCTTGTTTCACCCTGTGAGGTGAGTCAAAGCAGTTGCTCAAGTTAAACTGAATTTTGAGGATTGGTTTTCTATGATATCTACACTCCCACCCACCCCAAAAACCCCACCTTCTAAAGGTCCTTGGTGGAAAACAGACACACACACACACACACACACACACACTATTAGATGTAAAGTAGCATCGGTCAATTCTTTCAGTTTGTAAATGAAAATTAATTTTTGGGTTTCCCCCTTTTTCTTTTAGGACAGCAGCGTTTGTGTCTTGGAAAAGAAGCTGAGCTCAGGTAACCAAAGGTTAATTCCTTTTTGTTTTGGGGAAACTTTCTTGTGGAAATATACATGCTAAGACCCATGGTGGAAAATCTGCTGTACCCTTTCCTCAGTTCTACAGAGGATACTACATTCTATAGTATTTCTTGTTTTTTGATACTTTAAAGCTAATACCATTTTGCTAAACGGGCCTTCCCTAATTTCATGTCTCCAGAGTTATTGAATTCCAATCCTCATCCTGCTGTGGGTTATGGCAATTGAAGCTCATCCCATGTGGGAACAAGCTGAACTCTCTTTGTGCTTGTGTTCAGTTATTAGACATGGGTTGTTAGGAGGAATCTCTTCTATGCCGGCTGTTTTACAGAAGAAATGTATGCATGTGTCCAGACTTTCGTGTTAGTCTTTTCTCTGCTGGTGTAAAACCATCTGGAGAACAAAGTGCTTCTGGACGAGTGCGCATGGCAGCTGCTAAGACTGAATCTGTGGAGTTGCAATAGTTGAGAGTGGTTGATATGAGTTCTGTCTTATCTACTTATCCAGGCTTAGATGTACAGGCTGTGATTTTTGACTGCAGTGGAATATCCTTTGTGGATTCATCTGGCGCACGGCTCCTTATCCAGGTATCAAAATATAAATATGTGTGTTTGTCTCTGTGTAGTGGGGAATAAGGGTTGAAAAATAGTAAAGCATGAGACGTATAAGAGTCAAAAGTTAAACCAATGAGTATTGAGACCAAATCAAGATTAAAACTCAGACTATCTCTCCAGATGAGCTTTCCTTCACTGGAGCCCAAGGGGTCTGCCACACTCAGAACAGTAGTTGCTGATCTCCAAAAATTAAAAGTAGAGATGTATCTTGGCCTCTTCCCTTTTCAATCTTAATTCCCTGATTGATCTTCTGCATAACTCAAGACTTCCATCCTTCCAACTTAGCACAATGCAAAATACTGATACTTCTATACTCTGATGCTGCTGCTACTATTACCCAAACCCATATTGAAGCTATTTCAGCAACTTAAAATGCAAAATAATCTGATCCTCAATTTTGATAACTCAAAAATCCCAGTTTTTGCTAAAAGAGGCTATTTAATACTCTTGGAGAATAGAAAGACACAATCTAGAACAAGTCAATACATTCAAGTACCTTGGGGTGGTGTTCCATACAAAAGGTATTTGGAAGGCACATCTGGACTACACGATGCAATCAGCCCTTAGGTCCTCAAATGCTACCAAACACTTTTTTTTACACAGGCAGAGGACAATGATTCCCCGTAGCCTTAAAACTCTTTGAGGTTAAAACACTGACACAAATTCTCTACGGGGCACAAATAGGATTTTTTTTTTTTTGAAGAAGGGGGCTTTAGAAACCATACAAACACAATAGTTGCAATCGATTTTTGCTGCACCTAACAGGACATCATACACCCAGTTGAGACATGAGACAGGAATGCCTCAAATTCAGGTAAGGGCCTGGAAGACGGTGATAATTGACTGGTTAAAAATTGAATACTTCCCAGAGGGCCTGACCTCTTTAGTTCTGATAGACAACTTCCCCTCTCCCTGGAAATAGTCAATAAAGCATAAGCAAGCTTTCTATGGACTTTTCTCACTAGGCTACGATCAGGTCAAGCAAGTGGTTACCAATAGAATAAGACAGGGGTCCCCAACCACCAGTCCGTGGACCGGTACCGGTCCGCAGATCATTTCTTACCGGTCCGCAAAGCTTGGGCGCCGCCATCTTGTTTCAACAGCGCTTCCGGGTTTTCGGTTGCTTCCAGGTTTTTGGTTGGAAAGTGCTTCTGGTTTTTCAGTTGGAAAGCAGCGCTTGGGTGCTCGCGCCTTAGTTTCGTCGAAGGGGGGGGGCGGCTTCGAATGAAGAGTCGTCCCAATGGCGGTGGAGTCTCACGTTACTCAGGTACCGGTCCATGGAAGAATAAATAATCGTGAAACCGGTCCCTGGTTCGAAAAAGGTTGGGGGCCACTGGAATAAGAGACATGGAGTTCCAGCTAGAACTTATAGGATATCTCTCCACAGAAGAAATCGGATTACATGGAGTATGTGGGAACTAGCAAGGTATCTGAAAGGCCTGGATTTTCTTAAGAATAGAAGAGCATTTTTTAGAGCCAGACTTACGGTAATATCCTCCCTTCAGTATTCTTGCAGGGCAGATATAATAAAGCCGCAATAGCTGAGCGAATGGGGACATGTGGCAATGGGGAAGTTGAAGATTATCTCATGTCTTATTGTGTTGCAAGTTCTACAGGGACATCAGATCAGCATACATTCTCCTTCTATTAGAGAGATTTGTAGGCAGAGCAAAGCAGATAACTTCTATGTGAACCAATTCCTTTAAGGATTCAAATCCAGCCACCACTCGTGCAGTTGCAAAATTTTGTGCTGGTCTAATGGTAACAAGGAAAAAAAAACAACTAAAAGAACTAAAGAGCCTTATTCATATAAGTACTTTGCTTTACCAATAATTTCTAGAGAATGTATTTATTTTAACATTTAACTTTTGTGCTGATCTGGGACCATAATAAAGATTGATTCTGATTCTGAAAAAATACTGTTAAATTTTAAGATGGCTAGAACTTCACCTGACCCTATGGGAGTTCACTAGATCTTACGTTACAATCCCTGAAATACCTTGAGATTTTCTGATTTCTTGATAGTTCACATTTTGGGGGGAGGGAAGGATTTCATGCTGCCTGCAATTTGGAGTGTTTGGGGTTTTTTTTTACCCTGGGCATTGGAGCAATTCATGATTCTCATCCTTTAAAGTGGAGTATCTTTTCACCAAAATCAAATCCACCTAGGGCATTTTATCACAGGCAGCATGAAAGGGACGGATGGACTCTGATCAAAAATGGACAAGGCTGCCGTATCTCTCGTTTTTTCTGGCCCTCCCCAGATGTGTTCCATTTCATTCCATTCATCTGTTCTTCCAGAGCTGGAGACTGCTAGAGAAGAGACCAATTCCTTTGGCCAGAGGTTCAGTTGAATCAGAGGGACCTCTTGAATAAAAATTTGGACTCCCCAGTATTGGTAGTTCTAGTCAACTGTTCCAGCACTAACTAAACCCATATTTGCTCCAAGCTCTTTGGTTTGAGCTCAGCTGCATGTAAAGAAGACAACCCCCTCTCTTCTAAAGACAACAGAAGTTCTGTTACATTGGGAGTCTCTCGACATGTGGCTGCTGGACACATCTGGAGTTGTAATTATAAGTCGACAGAAGTTTTGAGAACATGCTGTCAGTGCTCCTAGACAATGGCCGTTACGGGGGTGGGGGCGGGGAAAGAGAGGGCTCTCCTATTCTCCAAATGGCAGCCATAGGGAATTTAACCAGTTACAAAGCCAATATCCTGGGATGCCTCTCGTCCTAGACTTTGAAGCAATTATCCTGCAGAATGCTCCCTTCAAACAAACATTTCCATTTCGTCTTTTTCTGTGCAAGCGAGCGGATTTTCCTAACGGCTCTGAGCTGCATCCGCCCATCATTTTCATCTTCTAAGACGCAGAGGCCTTTTTGAAATTGAGAGTAATACTGCAGGCTGGTCCTTGGCTTTGGACTAGGCCAGCATCTCCCTATTTGAATTGAATTGATGTACAAAGTCAGAGGAGGTGTAAGGATCCAGTCAATAAGTCAGGGTTTTGTCTGCAGACCCATTGGGCCCGCAAACATCCAGAACGAGAGCATGATTTTCCACAAAGGAGTAATCGGTTTACATTACGCAGTGAAAAGGTTGTTGTTGTTTTTAAAAAGGCCATTTGCTTCTCACTCCAGACAGCATTGTCTCATGCACCTGCCTTGTGCTGGGTCAGTTTAAATAATGTTCTTCTCCCTTTCACGCTGCCCTTTGAGAAGGATTATGATTCATCAGGGCCTAAATGGGTTATCTTTAAAATGTGATATTAACAAATGAACTAGAGTCATGCCTTTTTATACTGAATTGGAAAAACATCTGCTCCCTGTATAATAGACTCCTTATAATAGATTATGGGGTGGAACACAAACTGTGTCACCTCCTTGTGCCAGAATCAATAAAATATATCATTGTGTATCAGGATCTTGGCTGTCAGATTGGTGCTACGGTGTACCTGTGGTGGCTGGAAGCCCTCACGTAAGCTTCTTTACAAATGTTTCCTTGCCTTTTAGGTGTGTGTGGAATGTCAAAAAGCCGGCATACAGATACATTTGTCTGCCTGTAATGGTGAGTGAAGTAAGACGTGCCATCAATCTTCCTATTATTTTAATTCATTGTTCCTCAGTCCGATGGCTTTCAGAGGCATTAGATTTTGCTGGTCTCTAGCTGAAATTCCTTATGGGAGCTTTAGTTCAAAGATAGAATGCAGGAAAAAGTTAGCCTAATTTACTTTCTTTTTTTCCCCCCAAAAAAATCTAAATGTTAAGAAGTTGTCTATTTCCCTAGGAAAGGGTATACATTTTTTTAATTGGTGGGATTGGCTCACTTCGCTTGTTCCTTACGAGCAAAATCAAGACGACTACTGTGAATTCACTCAATGGGAAGCCCAAGGAGTACATATACAAGAGGGATCCTATACATTTCCTGCATGGACAGATTCTCACATACAAAGGAGAATATAGGTGATGGAGTCATTTATCTGATGCAGATGCAGAAATCTATGGCACGGGGTGTTTCCAATAAATCACCTAACTTAGCATCAAAGCCAAGGAGATGAGCTGAAGGTTATTTGAGTGATTGCATCACCATTTTATTATATCTGGATTTAAAAAAACCTCAGCCATTGTGATTGTTATGAGAGATTCAAACCACGATTCACAAGACACCAGTTTTGTAGGAAAGTGTCGTGTGATAGATGCCCATCTCTAGATCTGGGGTCTACTTGTGTTGAATCATCCCTCCCTCTCCTTACAGCCTTTTAAATAAACATTGTACGAAGACCACCTGAACAATCAGTTTCACTGCAGTAGGGCCCAGAAACATCCAAGGGATCTGATGCGCCTGTCAGAAGTGGAAAAAAAGCAGCACCACATGCCACTGCAAAGCAAGCTCCGCCCCTGTTGTACACTCAATCCACATCACAACACACATATGGAAGTGGTGGAGCTGCGTTTGTTATTTGCTCTCCATCCCTACCTCACCCCGTGCAGGTAGTTCTCAGCTTACAGGGGCAATCGGGAGAGGATTTGCCATCGCTAAGCACAGCAGCCATAATGGGTGACGCGTGATATCCCATAGCAATCCTGGCACCTTAGTTGCAGTCGTTAAGGAAGGAAGGCACCCGATTGCAACTACCCCAATTGTCATTCATGTGGGGGAGAAGGGGTTCTTGATAGCCGACACGCCACAGGGCTTTCTCACTGCCCTCCTCAGCTCTTCTGAATAGAACGCTGGAACAACAATAAGCTCAAGTTGTTTCCAACTGGTTTATGAGAGATTGGACCTTGGAAAGAGCAGTGGTGCAGAAGTGCTCCCACTTGATCTGAAGGACTAGTTTACTCACCCACGTAATTACAGTACTGGATTTTTTCCAAGATCCCATGAATCACGTACAGATACTGTTGTGTTGCGGAGGTAGGAAGAGACCATCCCTAGGGTCAAGGAACTGTGTGTTTGCCAGTCATCACCAGCGGCATGAGACCTGAATGCCTTCTCTTCTTATCCCTCCCAGCCAACGTCCTACAGACCTTGAGTTTTTGTGGCCTCATGCATCACCTCACCCCTCAGCAGATTTTTGTCACTGTTCACGATGCGGTTTCCTACCTCCAGCAAGCCACGGTAAGGGTCCGAGAGTCAGCATAGAAAACAAGGGAGCCTCTTCCCCTCTTGGTCTCTGTTCAGGCTGCTGTGGGGGGGGGGGGGGGCAAGGGGAAGGAAGGGGAGCGTGGCTGGGCACCTGTAGCCCAACTCTCGAAACAGCACATCACTGTCATTTAGTGCGTGTTCCCCACCCTGCCATGAGATCAATCTGTAAATACAAGCAATTTAGCCCGAGCCTTTAATTTCTATATTTGGGAGTCCGTATTTAATGGGAAGAGTTTTACTTGACGCAATGCCCAGCCCCACCCCACAGTTCTGGCGAATTAGCCACATTTGCTCCTTCAAAGGCTATTTATGGAGCCTCTGTGGCGCAGCGGTTAGATTGCAGTACTGCAAGCTACTTCTGCTGCAGCCAGCTGCCTACAATTTGGCAGTTCAAATCCCACCAGGCTCAAGGTTGACTCAGCTTTCCATCCTTCCGAGGTGGGTAAAATGAGGACCCAGATTGTTGGGGGCCAAATGCTGACTCTGTAAACCACTTAGAGAGGGCTATAAAGCACTATAAAGCGGTATATAAGTCTTAAGTGCTATTGCTATTTAGAACTACAGGTAGTCCTCAAGTTATGACCGTAGTTGAGTCCAACATTTATGTTGCTAAGGGAAACATTTGTTTTGCCCCGTTTTACAACATTTCTTCCCTCAGTTGTTAAGTGAATCACTTCAGTTGATCAGTTAGTAACCCGGTTGTTAAGCGAATCTGGCTTCCCCCCCACAGACCTCCTTTGTCAGAAGGTTGCAAAAGGAGACTGCATGATTCTGGGACGGTGCAACTGTCAAGCGTCTGAATTTTGATCACGTGACCCTGGGGATGCTACAATGGGCATAAGTGTGAGAAACGGTGATAAGTGCCCTTTTTCAGTGCCGTTGTGACTTTGAACGGTCACTGAATGAACTGTTGTAAGTTGAGGACTACTTGTACCACCTCCATTATTTAACAGATGTAGAAAGTTCAGATCACCACCAGAATTCAACTGCTACCCTTAGCAGGGATTGCATCCCCTGGGGCAGGGCGGGGAGGGGAATCTCTGCACTTCCCTGAGTAGGCTTGAGGCACAGAGCCAGAGATACCGAAGGTGCTTTATTTTATTTTATTTTTTCAAGAGGCCAGTTGCCTCTTGAAAAAAGCACCATTGAGGCACAGAGCTTAACAAGTAACGTGAGCTGGGAAGGTATACAGTAGCTTTTTTATACGGCACAGTTCCTCGTGGATAACTCCAATTCGGGGTTTTGTTTTTGTTTTTTTGCTCAGGAAAACGTGGAACAGAAGGATCCCACCATCTGGGTATAACTTTTCTTCCTGCCAAGGTCAAAAGGCAGCGAGAGCTAGCAGGACAAAGCCCTCCGAGACCACAGAGATTTGGGGAAGGCAGCAGGCTGCCGACGAGAGCACGTTTCTCCTGCTACCTGGAAGGCTGGATTGTCAGGAATGGACTGGCAAGGAAAGAGCCAGGCTCTTAGGTTCAGCCGTTCTTCGCTCTTCCTCCTGCTACAACTTCCGTGGCCTGCCTAGTCCGGAACTGAAGCGTCAGGACTACTTCACGCGCTCACCTATCTTGGTTCCTTTCTTCTTGAACCCTCACCAGAAAATTTTTAGAACACAGCAACTAAACAAAATTGTATTAAAAACTTTATTACTTTCCTGGGGGGGTGGGGGTGGGGTGGGGGGGTGGCGGGGGTAGAATTGAAGTCATCACAGAAGCCAAAAGGAAGAGAGGGTTTCAGCCTAGGAAAGAATGTTCCGTGGGGATTACAGAAATGCCTGACTGCCAGAAATAAAAGGAAGCCTATTCTGTTAAAGTACTCAGTTTATACTGGGACACCTCCTTTATCCAAACGGGATTTTCATCAGGCAGGGAGTCAAGAAAACAAAAACAATTGCCCTAACTGAGCAGATGCAACTGTTAGCTCTTTAAATGACCCAGTTAATAATTCTGCCAGCATTGGGCCTGAAGTGAAGGGAGCTACCAGCCCAAGAGATTATTTTTCCTCCGTTCTGGAGAAATGAGCTTGCTCTCACACCAGTTCAATATAATAGCCTAAACTTGAAACAATCTGCCCTGGGACCTAAGCTACATTCTTCAGCCCGCACTTCTCATGAGTGGGTGGATATGCAGTACTTGCAGATAACCACGGGTTATTGTGAAATGCTCAGAAGTGAGACACCACACCTTGGGTTAGGTCACTGATTACTGTTTGCAACTGGGGAGTTCCATCTTACTCATACTCTAGGACAGGGCCCATTTTACACCTTCAGCAGCATCAAATACAGTAGCTAAGGTTTTCTTGGATTCAGAGGTGGTCTTCAGCAGGTTCTGACCAGTTCTGGAGAACTGGTAGAAGAAATTTTGAGTAGTTCAAAGAACTGGCAAATACCACCTCTGACCGGAGATTTTACAGTATCCTTCCCCGGCCACGCCCACCAAGCCCACAGAACCACTAGTAAAATTTTTTTTGAATCCCACCACTGCTTGGATTGCACCAGCTCAGAGTTGCATGATGATTATGCATCCATCCTTGAACAATAAATATGTAAATAAATGAACAAGCTTTTGAACTTTTATCAAAATTTAGCATTTCAGGAGGGGAGCAACCATTTCATTATCACATGGAATTTCTTTCCTACTTACTTTGGAAGGGGTGTGTGTGTAAAAATGCAGTGTCATTTTTTTAAAGCATTTAAGTATATTTAATTTATTACTGTATTGTTCTGGTGGTGTGAGTAGGATTTAATTAAAATAATACTTAAAATCTTATCGTGCTTAGGACAGCTTATTGCCATATGAGCATGAATATGATTGCTGCTGTACTTATGGCTTCTAAGCTATACCCAATCCATATCTTATGTCCAACAACTGTATCCTACACAAATATTTTTATGTTTTTCATCTAGCAAGTCAGAGGAAAGAAGAGTTTATCCTTTTGCAGCACGAAACAACTTTGTGAATCGATCTGTACAAAGTCCTATACCATTCGTGCTACAGAGATTTTGAAATCTACCTCTCTGATTTTTGTCACCCTGTGCTAAAAATGCACCCGTACGGTAACCTCTTGGGCTGGTACTTGGCTAATTTTATCTCAGTGAAATCCACAGCCCAGCTGCCAGGAAGAAGGGCACACACAGGCAGAAAGAAGAATGGTGCCTGAGTAGTTACAGCCTCTTGGATTACGTATGGTATAAGCCAACTCCCATGCAACTGAACTATTATGTAAGACCTTTACCCAGCCCTGATTTGTGTTGTTGTTGTTTTCTAAAAAAACTCCCTAATAAATAGCTGTTTTAGGAAAAGCAGTAGTGCAGAAGGTTCCATGGTTAAAAAGCTGGAGATCTGGGATGGAGAAGTTTAAGGAATGAGAAGCAGCTTTGGAAATTGATCCTGTCTAAAGTTAAAAAAGAAAAAAAGAAATTGACAACTTGCCATGGTCAGTCTTTCTACTTCACTGTATATATAAAGAATCCCCATAGAAAATAAGCTGCTCCCTCCCCCTCCAATGTCCATGCACATCTGGCCATTTTTGCCATAAGCTTGGGAGTGCCTCAAATCTGGACTGCACCTGGTAGTTCTGTGGCCTTTCAAGGCTGCTCTGTTGCAACGCACATGTCAAGGCTTCCCCCTGGTGGTGGCTTTCCATCATTAATATTTGGCACTTCAAGATATTCCGGAACGAGGGAGCTGGGGCTCAACTTTAAAACCTGGGCACAAAAACTGTGATGCTGGAGAAAGCCCTCCGAGCTCAGGTTTATTCACCTCCGATCCTGTCCCCTTCTGTAATTTAAATTAAAGGGAGGTAAAGGATGCTGGGATATTGCCAGATTTTGCAAGTTTTTGATGTGACCTATAGGTATGAGCAAGTCCAAAGTTAGAAGGGGAGTTCAGCTGCTCTCAGCCAGGAGAAGGGTAAAGACACAGACTTCATGGGGCAGCCTCTTCCAGAATCACTCCCCGTGGAATATGGCTCAGCTCAGATGCAAAGTATGACAAAATGAGAAGCAGCTGACACCCTCCTTTCATCAACAAGGTCTGGAAGATGTCTTGTTCTATTAATTCTGTTACAACACAGTTGTAGTTTTTTTTTTTTAAGCAGCATGAAGTTCATTTCTCAAATTGCTCGAATTGAGAATGTAGCAGCCTCCCTGAGTTCTGGGCGTTTGACTGTTGGACAGGGCAAGCTTGCTTGCCAAGATCTGTGGCAGCCTGCTCTGGCAACTACTCCAGTCACCTGAGAACTTAAGTCAGTTGTCAAGGGTGGGATTCATCACCCTCTCACCAAAGATTAATTGGCCATCATACATTTAAAATGGTTCTTGAAGTAGAAAAGGCTTAGTTTGGTGTTCATCGACTCATCCGTTGAGTTGGGATAGCGGAACTTGGAATATTGTTTCTCATTTACCGATTTTAGCCACGGTATCTTGATCTTAGAGGCATGGTCTATCACCACATTGGAGCAGGAACCGACATGCAGAATACCCAGGCCATCAATGAAGAACTCTGCAGTTAGAAAAACCCAGAACGAAGGTCAAAAATGAGCATAAGTCTATGACTCTTCAACAGACAATCCTTCTGGGCGTGCTTTTTTTTACCTTCCTGTTGACTTGAGTAGAAGTTGTTAACAGGCCAATTAACATTTTGAATGGAATAAATAAGAACTTACTACGGGATCCCGTTGGTACTCACAAGTCTGGCTCAAGCATCTCTTAAGATTAGAACGTTTCCCAATCTCGCCTACTTTAAGTTGTGTGGAATTCCCCTGAATTCTCCAGGCAACACCGAGTTGAAGTCCACACATCTTAAAAATTACAGAGGTTGAGAAACACCAGACCACAACATCAAAGGGAACCCAAGTTCACCCTTTCGATTGTTTGTGTGATTTGGATTTTCCTACGGGTAGTCTTTGACTTACCACAATTGAGGCCAACATTTCTGTTGTTAAGTGAGACATTGGTTAAGTGCATTTTGCCCCATTTTATGACCTTTCTTCCCTCAGTTGTTAAGTGAATCACTGCAGTTGATAAGTTAGTAACCCAGCTGATCAGTGAACCTGGCTTCCCCATTGACTTTGCTTGTCCGAAGGGTTGCAAAAGGGGATCCCATGACTTTGGGACACAGCAATGGTCATAAGGATGAACCAGTTGCCATGCCTCTGAATTTTGATCACGTGATCCTGGGGATGCTGGAAAGGTTTTGTAACTGTGGGAAACGGTCGTAGGTTATTTTTTTCAGTGCTGCTGTAACTTTGTTCATTAAATAAACCGTTTTAAGTCGAGGGCTACCTGTATTATGTTCTATATAGGAAAGAAAAGCTATTCAAGGTTGACTCAACCTTCCATCCTTCCAAAGTGGGTAAAATGAGGACCCAAATTGTTGGGGGCAACATGCTGACTCTGTAAACCCTTAGAGAGGGCTGAAGAAGCACCGAGAAGCTGAGGGTCTCCCATGCTGGCAGCATCACTCACCAAGGTGGGCAACACGGTTGAGGCGTGGGTCAAAGCCAACTTGCAGCACCTTCTCCGTGCGTGCCAAGAAGAAATTGATTACACCATCAGTGACTACACAATCGGGGAAACCTTCAATGACGTGGTGATAGCCCTGGCGGATTCGCAGGCAATCTCCCTTCTCATTACCAGGCTGCACGCTGATCTGTTGGCGGTACGTGGTGGTGTAGCCAATAATCTCCCGTACGGCTCCACCCACCTGCGGAAAACAAACCATAACTTTTGAGGATGGATGGTATGCACTTGTAAGCGCATATGAAAGGGGTTCTGTCTACAGGGGGAAAAAAACTAATTTCTTGGGGGAAGGTTATTTCTCTTATCCTTTTAATTTTGTTTTAATACCTATTTGATTTGCTTTTATTCATGTATTAAATGTGTATGCTGCCCATGTCCCCTATAAGGTGACACTGGGTGGCTTAGGTGCTATAAAATAAGTCATAAATAATTAAAATGTCAAAACTACACAGGTTATGATTTCAAAACTATACTGAAACCAGAACCAAGAGACAAACAGGACAAGGGAGAGGTCTTCTGACCTTGTTATGTTTTTAGTTATTTTAATTTAGATTTTGTAAGCCGCCTAGAGCCTGCTGGAGTAGGTGGCCATAACAGGTTTAGTGAAATATTGATTTATTTAAATCAATCAATAACTTTGAATAAATTAAGCCTCAATCAAGAACTGGAGATTTAAACAATGCAACATCCAAAAATAACCATTGTGTCATAGACTATTGCATATTTAGAAGGGAATGAAAGTCTCTTTATCAACTCAAAATTGATTCACTTCATATTATGGGATACAAAGATGTTGAACTCACAGCCACAGGTTAAGTCTGCCTCCACATTTCCTGTACCAACTATGAGATCTATCACACTTGTTGAGAACGTCACACCTGCTCCTCAAAGCATCTCCCTCATTCCACAACACCATCTACAGCCACTGTAGGCCACTGTTTTTCAGCATTGGCAATCTGATGATGTGTGGACTTTAACTCCTAGCCAGCACGTTGAAATAAATGATCCACAGCCAGCAAAAGCAGCCACAGGGCAGGAACTCACCAAATCTAGTGAAGTTTTCTCAAGGACATCTACAAGCTTTTCCACTTTGGTGCGGGGTGTGAAAATGAAGTCGTCATCCACCCACAGAACATATTTGGTGGTCACCTGGGAGATGGCCAGATTCCTACCAGCAAACCAGCCCTAGAAAGCAAGGGTGGAAAGGAAAAAGAAAAGATTGAAAATACTATTTATGAACATTGCTACTGATAATCCTTTTGCCAAATAACTGGACTGTCACTTGCTCCTCTTGCTTGGCCACAAAGAACTGAAAACTGTTACCTTATCATTTCATACCTCAAACTTTGGCACCTGTGTGTCTTAACAATGACTTTATAATCCCAAGTTCTCTCTGTCAACTTTTTCAAAACACTCTAATCAGTACCATCTGTTTTAACTTTGCATCATCAACTGAATAACAAAGTAATCTTCTATGCAGTTCCAGATTTACTTCTGCAACCCACATGAGATTCCTACCTATCACCTTCCTTTTGCCCATACCCTGGTTCAATATGAATCCCACCCGCTTCTAGCAATGAAGACAACCAAGCTCAGAGAACACCAAGAACTCCTTGAATATGGTCTTAACCAGTTCGGCCTTAATCTTTGTCCTACAAAGACAAGACAACTTTTATCCTAGATTCAGGGGTCTGGATCTCTTTCAGCTATGTGACTTTCAAATTTCCCATACTTTACTTGCAGGAGCTTCCTGAGATATCAACTCCGTGAACTGCTCTTGGATGACTAGAAATATGCCCGAAATTATATTGAAAAAGGTGGGTGGGAAATTTATCTCCTTACTCATCCTAACTTTGATCATCAGCAAGCTGAAAAAAATCCTGTTCAACCCATAGTTTCACATCACAGAAATGTTTCCCAGCATAAGAGGGCAATGGAGTGAGCTCCCTTTAGCGGTGGTTCCTTAAACCCTTTCCTTACTCACCAAATCTCTGGGACTAATTCTTCCCAAAATTTACAGTATTCTTAAGAACGTGGCCTTATCTAGGCCTGAGGATTCCCCTAGATTAGAACATCTCCACACCTTGCCAAAGGGCATGAAGTACTGCTCAATGTGAGGTCCCTGCACATGTTCGATATCCTGGCTATCGTCCGCAATGATGATGGTCACAGTGGGGTAGAACTTGCGGATGCTGTCAATCAACACTCGTAGTTTATCATAGCGTAAGAAGGTTTTGGTAGCTATGGTGACCAGGGCGCTGATGTTGTAGGTTCCTGGGGAAGAGACAAAACGGGAAAGTTAGCAAGAGGGTTTGGATAAAGGAGAATTTGGCAGGATGTCTGAGAAGTGTGTGTGTGTGGGGAATGCACTCTTCACCATGTTTATTTTTTTAGACTCAAAGAAAGATGGACTGCCGCTTCCTGGTTAACTTTGCTTTTCCTTATGCTTTTTATAATTCCATCTTTATTACTACAGGCAGATCATAAGCTGCTTAGAATGTTCTGACTGGAGCAGCACCAAAATCTGATAATAAATAAATACATAACTACGTAAATAACCAAAACTCAAGCAATTAATAATGATAAATAACAACAATAGCAAGGACTCTCCAAAAGCCACTTAGCTCCTGGAAAGGTAGTTCCACCAACAGCAGAGCAGGGCACCACAAACTTCCTCAAGTGCAGTGTTTAGATTGGCTGCTAGAGAGCAATAAATACTTTGGAAAACTCTCATCCTAAACACAATATCCCTTACTATATACCCTTTGTATATACCCTATATACAAAGGTAATACCCTTACTATATTGCTGATAAGTGCCTACAAGTGGGTGCCTGGAATGGCAAGCCTCTCTGGGCACTTTTCCGTTTTCAATAAAGGAAAATATTTGTAGCTCAGGATTGAAATGAGGGGTCCTTGGTGCTCTCTGAGATTGGTTATGGTTTATTTTTTATTTTTGGCAGACGTTTCATTACCAAACTAGGTAACATAATCAGTGCTGTGATGTTACCTAATTTGGGTAATGAGATGTGCAAGAAAACAATCAATCTCAGAGAGCATAAGGGACCCCTCATTTTTCTGCTTTCTCTTTTGGCCTGTTTTAAAAGACAACAGCATAACCCTGGAGAAAGCGAACTTGGGAAGGGATGAGCATACCTGAGTCCACCTGCACATACTCAAGAACACCATTTCACTTCCCTTTTTTCAAATTCTCAGGTGGGATCCAGCAGGGGCTGCTTTCTACATGAAATCTTGGACAACTACTACTATCCATCTGGTGTGCTCACCTTCACTAGTTCCTCCCCTGGATGATCCTGGATTGTAGAGCTTGGGAGTAGGTGGATGTCTGATGCGAATGCTGAAAGATGCACGATGCTCATCAGTAGAAAACTGCACTGGAAAACAGAGGAAGAGACCAAACATTAGTCTTGGATGTGACTTTCCTACCCTGGTGTCCTTTAGATACGTTGGACTTCCGTGCCCATCATCTTTTATGCTGAAATGACAGGTTAGCATATCTGGAGGACGGTAGGCTGAGTTACATCAAGAGGAAGCTAGCAATACTGAAAATGCTCCTAAGCTTGGGAATTAATCATTTTTATTTGTTTGTATGTCCTTAAGCCACTAATGGTTGGCTTAGTTTGAGGTTAGCAAGCTCAAACCAGGGGTGGGTTCTGTCCACCTCTGTAGAACCGGTAGCTCTGAAGAGCAGCAGACATAGAACCGGTTCTATGTCTGCTGATGTTTTTGCCCACCTGCCCACCCGGGCTCTTACCTGACCTTTATTTCCTGATTTTTTTCAACTTCAGCTGCTGTGCAAGGCACAGCTGAGTTAAAAAATCAGGAAATAAGGACTTTTTCAAAGGCTGCTTCTCTGCACGCAGCGCTGCTCGGCTGTCCAGGCACCAAGCTGATAATGATTTACAGGCGCGCCTGCCGCGTGCAGGAAAGCACATCGTAAATCACCGAACCTTGTAAATCACTGAACCGGTAGTTAACCCTGTCGGATCTCACCCCGCCTCAAACCCTGTACACCACAGCTTAGGTTTTCATGTGAATTAGCCACTAAGTCAGGGGTCTTCAAACTTGACAGCTTTAAGACTTGTGGACTTCAACTCCCAGAATTCCTCCTCCAGTCATGTCAGCTCAAGAATTCTGGGAGTTGAAGTCCACAAGTCTTAAACTTGCCAAGTTTGAAGACTCTTGCACTAAGGCCGTGATGGCAAACCTATGGCTCTGTGGCACACAGAACCATCTCTGCAGGCACCCGAGCCGTCACCCCAGTTCAGTTCCACTGCTTATGAATGCACACCTCCCACCAGCAAGCTGATTTTCTGGTATCTGGGGGCGGGACGCATGTGTGAGACACATGTGCAGGGTGTGGGAGGGCACGGGGGGTCCTGCATGGAGGGGGGTCCTGCACACATGCGCAGGGGGTGGGGGGAGCGGGAGGGGTGTTGGCGAGTGCATTGCATTATGGGTGCAGGCACACCTGTGTGCTGTTGCACACGCAGGTGCGCACTTTTCACACGCGATAACAAAAAGTTTACCTATCACACTGCACTAAGGCAATAAACTACAGGTAGTCCTTGACTTACAACAGTTTGCTTAGTGACCGTTCAAAGTTACAACGGCATTGAAAAAAGACAATTTTTCATACTTACGACCGTTGCAATATCCCCCATACTCACATGGTCAAAATTTGAATGCTTCGCTATTGACCCACATTTTTGACGGCTGCAATGTCCGGGGGTCATGGGATCCCCTTTTTGAGACCTTCTGACAAGCAAAGTCCATGGGGAAGCCAGATTCACTTAACAACCGCGTTACTAATTGAACAACGGCAGGGATTCACTTCACAAAGGTGGCAAGAAAAGTTATAAAATGCGGCAAAAACTCACTCAACACATTTTTCACTTAAGCATCAGTCGGGCTCAATTGCGGTCGTAAGTTGAGGACTACCTGTGTAGTTAGAAATCCCGGCTCAGCATTGTTACAAACATGGACACTGTTAACTTTGCATAACATTATGCATTATGTGGGGCATTTTGAAACTGTTGTGAGATTGCAACTTAGGAAAATTAAGAATTGAGAAACTTCAGGTCAGCGTAAGGCTGTTCTCCTAAACAATTATGGCTTTGCTGCCTCAAGATGCAATGACCATCTACTAGCTTAGATGGCTTGACAGGTAGTTCTCAACTTATGACCACAACTGAGCCCCAAATGTATGCTGCTAAGTGAGAAATTGGTTAAGTGAGTCTTGCCCCATTTTATATGACTTTTCTTGCCACCTTTGTTAAGTGAATCACTGCCATTGTTAGCTTAGAAACACGGACATTAAGTAAATCTGATTTCCCCATGGGCTTTGCTTGTCAGAAAGTTGATTGCATGACCCCGGGACACTGCGACCATCGTAAATGCAAATCAGCTATCAAGTATCCAAATGGAAATCATGTGACCAATGGTTGTAAGTGTGAAAAATGGTTGTAAGAACTTTTTTCAGTGCTCTTTTAACTTTGAACGGTCACTAAACAGTTGTAAGTCGAGGACTACCTGTATAAGAGAATCAGACAAGGAGGGGTTAGGATTTCAGTGACCGTTACTCACAAAGCCCAGGTGCCATTCACAGATCAATAGCAATAGCACTTATATACTGCTTCAGAGTGCCTTACAGCCCTCTGTAAGCAGTTTAGAGTCAGCATATTTTCCCCAATAATCTGGGTTCTTATTTCACCAAATTTGGAAGGGTGGAAGGCTGAGTCAACCTTGAGCCTGGTGAGATTCGAACGGCCGAAGAACTGCAGGAAGCTGGAAGTCAGCAGAAGTAGCCTGTAGTACTGCATTCTAACCACTGCACCACTGCGGCTCCTAGCAATTGTTACTTCTGTGGAGGGAACCTTTTGGTCACACGATGGAATAAGCTGGTTTAGATGAGCCATTGGTCTGTTAATGAAGGAGCTGACCATTGGTGGGATTCAAAAATTTTTTACTGCCGGTTCTGTGGGCGTGCTTTGGTGGGCATGGCATGGCTTGGTGGGCGCGGCAGGGGAAGGATACTGTAAAATCCCCCTTCCCTCCCCATCCCACTAACCTGCTTTCCAGCTCTGTTGTCCTGTGCAGGGCAACAAAAGAAGACCCAGGCAATCAGCTAGGACTCAGGAGGCAGAGAATAGATGGGGGCGGGGCCAGTCAGAGGTGGTATTTGCCGGTTCTCCAAACTACTCAAAATTTCTGCTTCCCGTTCTCCAGAACTGGTCAGAACCTGCTGAATACCACCTCTGGTGCTGATCCTGTGAGGAAAGTCGCTGTGTCATAACTCTACCTCAAATCCCTCTGTTCTCTTTCCCAGACGATTGCTTGACTTAGCTCTACCAGAAAATTCTGGTAATGGTCAAGTCGGAAGAGAGATCTGAGGGTAAAAACAGCAGCCTGAAGGATTGCTGAGAGGCAATGCCTGGGTTTGAAAGGATCATCCTCAGCACATTCCTTCTGTTCTTCTGAGGGCTTTGCCAAAGAAGGACAGGGCTGGCATTAGACCGCAGAGTGCCTCCTTTCAAAACAGCTTGAGGCCATAAAACAGAAGGAAATATGCAGCACAAGGCCTAACTTCCTCCTCCCCCTCTCAGTAAAACACCTGTCAAGAGGCAAGAAAAATAGCGTGATTCTGCAGAACTGCAGACTATTTTTCTGGTATGCCAAAAATCCAACAGAGTGGGAATTCTCCTGGACAAAAGCTTTTCCAAGAAAAAGGGAACATAGTTTTTCATTTAACATAGCAATTTTTTCCACTGGGAAAGCCCCAGGTGAAAAAAACAGATCTCCAGCTTTGCTCAGAAAAACAAAATCCTGTCAAACTCAGTCCAGTCCTACACATAAATCAAGTGGAAAACCACTTTATTATTCCCCTGCCCTTTGTGAGTGAAGGATGTGAATCAAAGACATATTCTTTTGAATTATTTTAAAGGATTTTATGTATCAAAAGGGGGTTGGACTAGATGACCTGGAGGGTCCCATAGTTGCAAACTGTTATGTTTTTAAATGCTTGTCTGAGTTGAAGACCTACAAGAAACCACAACATGTTTCCTGTCCAACTGACTAGCTAAGAGTTTCTTCTTCAGTTTGGTTAAACTTTCCTGTCTCGATATAGTTTTTGAAGCAAATATGCTTCAAAAGGAAATAAACTATAAATTGTATTGTTGAAAGGAAGTTCTTTGCTCTTCTGACTCCGACTCACCTGAGAAGGATTCGGAATTGCCTATTTTTGCAAAAGTATAATAAAAATTCCAGTTTGTTGACTTTATCTCATTGTCCTGAAAATTTGTTAAGAATTTGGAGTCACCTAACATGCGAGTACTGGTAATCCTCAACTTGACCATGATTAAACCCCAGATTTCCATTGCTGAGTTGTTAAGTGGGTTTTGCCCCATTTTATACCCTTTCTTGCCACAGTCGTTAACTGAACCACTGCAGTCGTTACATGAATCATGCAGTTGTTAAGTGAATTTGGCTTCCCCCACTGACTTTGCTTGTCAGAAGCTGGCTGGGAAGGCCGCAAATGGTAATCACATGACCCCAGGATAGGGCCGCTGTTATACATACATTTCAGTTGTCAAATGCCTGAATTTTATTCACATGATCATGGGGATACTGCAATGGTCATAAGTGTGAAAACTGATCATAAATCACTTTGTTCAGTGTCATTGTAACTTCAGTAAAGAAATGGTTATAAGACAAGGATTACCTGTATGAGAACACTAGCTCTATACCCGTGCTTCGCTACGAAGCAATGTGATCGGGCTTAGTTTTTGGGGAGGAAAATAAGGGGGAAAAAATTCTGCCTCTGCCACCAGCAACCATTGGTATTCATCTGGTTAGCGTCCTGCCAATGTGTGAGAGAGTTGAGGGCTGTTTGGAAAGTGAAACAGTATTTGCTATGTGAGCAAAAAGGAGACAGCAAGGAGCCTGGGCGTGGCTTAGCTCAACTGTTCTGTACTAAAGCTGGTTGCTGCTGTGAAACTAAAACTGAAACTCCTCTCCTCTGCTTGTGTTTTGCATTTGGAACAGATTTCTTTTCAGGTGGGGAGGGGGAGAACAACTCCTTAGCATCAGAGTGTGTTAATAATAATATAGAAAATACTAATGCTCTGATGGTCATTTTGAAAAAAACTGATAGCTCACATTTTTATCTTTTACCCTCAAGCTGCTGGAATCCATTGGGAAAGTTAAAACAACATCTAGGAAGAAAGCCATGGCAAACCATACACTTGCCTAAAAATATGATAGTAGCCAAATTTTTGCCCAGAAAACAACATGGATCTGTCAATCTAGCGTAGTTTGCTTCGAGGAATATTCTAACTTTACTACAATAGTCCCATACTATGTATATTAAGGTGGGGGCCCCTCAAGTGAAGGACAGACAATGGATACACCTGAGGGGGGAGGAACATCGGAAGAACTGGCCTGCCTCAAAAGTGTTGGTTTCCAGCAACTTCCTTTTCAATTGGCCCTCATTTCTCACAGTGATGTTCTTGATCCGTGGTCCCGCAGTGGTTATAACGCAGTGCTGCATGCTACCTGTTGACTGCCGACTGCCAGCAGCTCGATCCCAAGCAGCTTAAGGTTGACTCAAACTTCCATCCTTCTGAGGTTGATAAAATGGGAAGCCAGATTGTTGGGGGCAATAGGCTGACTCTGTAAGCTGCTTAGAGAGGGCTGTAAAGCACTATAAAGCAGTATATAAGTCTAAATGCTATTTGCTATTGCTATTACAGTTTCCCTCCAATGGTTTGTCCCACGGTTTATGGCTGGACTATTGATATTTGCAGTGGTAATGATTGCTCCCATACCCACCTATATCTGCTGTATTAGGATGGAAGAGGGTGTTGGTATAGGTGACAAACTGCATTTGCCGATTTAGATTGTCCAGCTGGGATCCGGATAGGGAGAAGTGCATCTGTCCTTCCCTTTCCACTTTGACACCTTCTACCTCCGCAGCCACATCAAAAGTACCCATTGTTGCTGTCAAGTTGACCTGCCATAAAGACAAATAACCAGGAAAAAAAAAAAAGAACGTAAGAGTCAGGGGAAGAAGGGCTGTTTAAAAATCTTATCATTACCTATGGCAAAATTTCTCCTAAAGAAAAAGGACATCTTACAGCCTGACTCATCAGGATTAGGCCCGCCCTCTTTCGGATGGGAGTCTACACACATATTGGAAAACTCTATTCCTTTTAACTCTCTGCACAAAAAACCCCTACACACCTTGGTCTACTTTTAGTAAACAAGCCACATACACGCTTTTCAGTACATTCTTTTTCTTAGACGTCGGGGCCTGTTCTTCTTATGTCAACCTTACACTTCAGAAAACTGTCCAGGTTATGCTGGCATCTAAGCGGAGCACCCCAGCGCTGCCTATTTCCATGGCAATGAAAACACAACCCCAGGTGAAATTAATTAATTGTTGACAGCCCTTTCGACTGCCATCCAAATTTATTTCCAAGAAAATGGTTTCCTTCTAAAACATGCTTGTTGGGCCTGTTTTCAAGGAGGAAACATTCAAAGCACAGGCCAAAGGGATGGTCCTCATTTCTTCCTACGTTCACGAATGCCAGCAACAATGAATAAAGCGGCAGCACGGTAAGAGACCCACACCCTAATCCTGCCCTCCATCTGCTGTGCATCAAGAACTACTGAGCTGTGGTGGTGCAAGTGGTTAGATGCAGTATTGTAGGCTAATTCTGCCGACTGCCAGCAATTTGAGCCTGACCAGCTCAAGGTTGACTCAGCCTTTTACCTTTTCGAACTCCAGTAAAATGAGGGCCCAGATTGTTGAGGGCAATACACTGACTCTGTAAAACTGCTTAGAGAGGGCTGTAAAGCACTGTGAAGCGGTACATAAGTCTAAGTGCTATTGCTATTGCTGTCTTACCCGGTATAATGTTCTTTCAGCTGCTTGCAAGCTCAAGCCTATGGGAGGAAAAAACACAGGGGGTGAGACGTTTTTGCCATTCCACCTGCCATTATATTCATCACACCCTCTTCCACAGTGATAGGCAGATTTTCCCCACACTCTCTTTGCTTCTTTTGACATGCAGAGAAAAAAACAAAAGGCTTGCCTGGAATAAGAATGGTCTGGAGGGGGCGAACTTCTACACCTTGAACTGGATATTCTAGTGGTGAGTTGGCTTGGACAATGATCAGCTGGTCAAGTGGAGACTGAGACCTGATGGAGATAAAGGAAGGCAGTTTGAGGTGCCAACAACTGGTTTTCATGTACTACCCGGCAAACATTAACAAGCACAAATACACCCGAGGAATGACAGCTATGCGTGCCAAGCATCTTCCTGCCATGGTTACTTAAAACATAGTTACATAAGTACTTTCCTCTGCTGCTCTGGTCTTTATTGGCTAATATCTAAGCCTGTTCACAAGTGGGGAGGGGAATCCATTATCTGCATTATTTTCAGGGCAGTCAATTTAGAACATCAAGCCTTCCGGAACAAGTCTAGCAGGTTCCTTATTCAAAACTAAACTTCACTGGGATTTACATTTCTTATTACTGAGAAGATCAAACATTACATTCATTGTAATGTTTGTATTAGTATTTTAAAGGGTTTTTTTTTTTTTTTGGACACTTCAACTTCAAGTACAATTTAATAAATGCAATTTAATCAAGAAATGCTTCTGATTTCCCATGACTAGAAGGCACAAATAATTATAATCACTTTTTTAAAAAGTACATGATGCTTAGGGAGACGAACAATCCACCAGTCTTCTATCTTAACAAACGATACTGTTTTCCTGTAAATTGGGATAGTTATTTGTATTTTTGGATGTTTGTTTATTAATTGGAATTATTGTTTTAACTTTGCATGCTGCTGCCCAGAAATCACTGCTGTGAGATGGTCAGACATATACAGTCTATGGATGGATGGAGAGGTGGATGTCTTGGACTGTATGCTTTCTCATCATACATACAGCTTCCTTTCCGCCTTTCCTAATGTAACTAAAGTATGTCAACAAGATTGCAGAATGGCATCTAACAATTTTGTGGCCTATAACTACAGCCTTTATTGTAACAGTCCTTTATTTCAGAAAGCAGACCTCCAGATTATTTTTCAAAAATTCATTTTTCCCTTAGTTTGGACGTTTAACTTTTTATCATACAAACTGTACCATTTAATGCAGTCTCTCTGTCAGGTCCGAAGCTGGGTTTTGGACTGATACATTCACATGAACAATATGGACATTCTAAAATAAATGTACACATGATCAGGTCATCGAGCCCAAAATTTCCATTTTTAAACAAGACAGTTGTTAAGTGAGTTTTGCCCCCACTTTATGATCTTTCTTGTTGCAGTTGTTAAGTGGTTCACTCGTTGTTAAGTTGGTAACACAATTATTAAGTGAACCTGGTTTTCCTATTGACTTTGCTTGTTAGAAAGTCGCAGAAGGTGATCACATTGCAACCATCCTAGATAATGCCAGTTGCCTAGCATCTGAATTTTAATCGCACCACCACAGGGATGGTGCCATGGTTATTAAGTATGAGAAACTATCATACGTCACTTTTTTCAGCGCTGTTGTAATTTCGAACTGTCACTAAAGAAATGATTGTAAGTCGAGCACTACCTGTACCATTTGATTTTCGATATTTTCATTAGAATACGAGAGTCAAATTAGTGTAATGGTTTAGGCAACAGGCTAGAAACTGGGAGATGGTGAGTTCTAGTTCTGCCTTAGGCACAAAGCCAGCTGGATGACTGACCTTAAGCTGGCCACTTTCTTTCAAATCTAAGGAGGCAATGACAAATCACTTCTGAAAAACTTTGCAGAGAGAACTACAGAGACCAATCCAGAAAGTCTCTGAAAACCAGACATGATTGAACAGAATAATAATAATAATAATAAACAATGTATGTTTTTGTAAAGTTTTGCTCTTAAAACTTTCTTTGGAAAACAAAGTTAACATTTTTTTTTATCCTTATGAACCTCTTTCAGATTTGTTCTTTTTTTCACATTTCTTCCTTACTTTTTCTAAGAAAATGAGGTCAATATACTTAGGTTTTATGAGGGGAAAAAGTGGGTGTGTTTTCCTTCCCACTGCAACTGGGTACAGGCTAAATCTCAGTATGATTTAGCTCTCTGCAAATATTCCATCAATTATTTAAGGCATTAATATCATCAGTGACAGCTCGATGGGAGATAAAGGAACCAGCTAAGTCCAGCCCTGGATTAACCATCTAGCAAAAGAAGTAACAAGATTAGAGAACTAATGGAAGGAAGGCAGCACATATCTCCCCACCTTAACTCTCATGTTATTAACTCTTTCATGGTCACACACTAAACATTTTTAGATTTCAGCACTTATTGAGTCTTAATGTCTTGTTAAGCAATGGAAGGGCAATAAAAGATCTTTTAATGTTACTGATGTTAAAAGAGTTTGGGGCAGACAAAAGAAGAGGGAAGACAAATAAGCACTTTCACTAGCATCAACTTCCAGGGCATAGGAAAGTTTTGGTCTACATGTTCAGTCACCAAAAGGAAAGGCCGGAGGTACAGGATCCGAATATAAGTTCTTTCTGAAGAAGTCTCAACTCTGGCATTTCCAATCCAGATGGTCTACTAGCAAGCAGCAGGAGAGAATGATTTTCTACAATTAAGTAACTTAGAACGTAGAATAATAGAGTTGGAAGGGACCTTGAAGGACCCTATGGTTGTCCAGTCTCTTTTTGAAAGCCTCCAGTGATGGAGCACCCACAACTTCTGAAGACAAGCTATTCCACTGGTTGATTGCTCTCACTATTAGGAAATTTCTCCTGAGTTCTAGGTTGCCTCTCTTCTTGGTTAGTTTCCATTCATTGTTCCTTGTCTTGCTTTTTTGGTGCTTTGGAAAATAGTTTGACCCCCTCCTCTTTGTAGGTGCCCCTCAAATTTTGGAAAACTGTTATCGTGTCTCCCCTTCTTTTCATTAGACTAGAATGCCCAATTTTAGCAACCGTTTGTTGTATGTTTTAGCATCCAGTCCCCTAATCATTCTTGTTACCCTTCTCTGCACTCTTTCCAGAGTCTCAACATCTTTTTTTGTACCGTGGTAGCCAAAACTGGATACAGTATTCCAAGTGGGGTAATATTAAGGCTTTGTAAAACATTAATAGAACTTCATATGAACTTGACTCCATCCCTCTATTAATGCAGCCCAGGATTGCATTGGCTTTTTGGGCTGCTACAGCACACTGGTGGCTTGGCTCATATTTAAGTGATTGTCCACTAGGACTGCAAGATCCCTCTCACAGTTACTAGCATTAAGCCACGTTTTATCTAATCTGTACCTATATAGTTGGTTTTTCTTGCCTAACTGTAAAACCTTGCTTTTATCTATGTTGAATTTCACTTTGTTAGATAAGGCCTGTTATACAAGTCTGTCAAGATCTTTTTGGATCTTGTGCTTGTCTTCTGGGGTGTTGGTTATTCCCGCCAGCTTAGTGTCATCTGCAAATCTGATGAGTTCCCCTTCTATTCCTTTGTCTAGAGTATTCATGAAGATATTGAAGAGTATTGGGCCTAAAACAGAATCTTGGGTTACCCCACTGCTTACTTCCCCCTATGTGGAAGTAGTTCCATTGAGGACTATACGTTGAGTATGATTTGAGTTACAAACAAATCCAGTGCTGATGCTGTCTATCCAACATTATTTCTCGCTTCCAAGAAATATGCTCCCAAAATAGATTTGCTCACATGGGCAATTTCCAGATTAGTTTCATAGTTGTGTTATTTGCCTTTAGAGACAATTCTAAAAAAACAGCAAGGGAATTACTTGGTAGTGTAGTGTGATCTTCTCCAGATGGTATCCTTCAGATCCACTGAACACATCTTTCCTTACTATCACTGAACATAATCAGAGTCTGTTACAATCCATATTGAACACACCTGGCAGAGGCTACTCTTAAAGATATTTGATGTGAATTTTTCAACAATCAACTTGCTTTTGTTCTGTCAGATAATTCTATAACCGGCAGAGTTTCCACCCTCCAAGTTTTGCTATATCTGGAAAGACTTATGCTTGTATTATCTGCCTGGTAATAATAATTACCTGGCTGACAGATTTAGAACAGTAGCTCAAATATTTAAAACTGACAGAGAACATTTTACTTGCTTTAGCTGGTGCACAATAAGCTGCTTATTCTGTTGTAATTCTTGCACAAGGGTGCTTAAACCCATATTATTTTCTTGACAACAATATCGGGAAGTCATTTGCTATTACCTACATTCAGAATGTAACTGATTTCTTTTTTGAAAAAACTTCTTGGTTTACCCTTTATCAATTGCTAAACAATAACTCTCAACAGACAGCGAGAGATTCTAAGTTAGAATTTAGCAATAAATGTCTGGAAGATTATGAGGTTCCCCCACAATTTTAATTTGCTCTGTCCCTTTTCACTGATTCAAAGACTGTTTCATCTTCTCAGAAAGCCTGCTAGTTGAAAGGGGATCAGACTGGGGGTGATAAGCAACTATGTTTGCAAGTCACGCAATGGGTGTGGAAAGGCCTGTTTGTGCTTTGTTTGTTTGTTTGTTTGGAGGCACGGGGAACTGGCAACCATCAGACAAATCCTGATTCTATGAGCCGCTGCAATCTGCTGGCTGGGTGGAATGACTGTGCCTATCTCACTGTTTTCAATCGAAAATATTGCCCCACTGAGAAAAACAATTGATGAAAATTTCACAGCATGAGCACCATGTTTACATGCCAAGCTGATCCCAGCTGAAAAGGTGGTACCTTTAGCCCTTGGGGTAACTGTCACCCCAAAAATGCCATCAATGCAAATTATGTATGCCCCTTATTTTCAGGACATGCTCCCTAGATCTATTCTTTAAGAAGCTTGCTCTCTTCCAATATGGGAGAAATGCAACCTCTTCATCTGCACTAGTCACCTTCCTTTTATATAATTTACACGCCATAACCCATCACAGGCTTCTAATAGCTAGAAAAAAAGACCAATAAGCAAGATGGCTTTTATAGTTTTAATGGACTCATCATCGAAAACTCCGTGGAGGAAGTCTGCCAGGTTGATTTACATATGTTTATATGAAAACTCTAGCAAGTAAGTCTTTATCTTATTTACCAATATTCTTTTCTGCTTGAGCTATAAAACAATCTATTCACAATAATTATTTAAAACTGGGACTCAACCGAGTCAGACTAAAGAGGTTTGGCATTGAAAACGAAAACCTTGAATGCTAGCATAGATTTTACAATCTTACAAAGTACATTTCTGCATGTATAGCATTTAGGTAACCTGGATTTTGTTCATTGATAATCTTGCCCATTATTAGTGGCCGCTTCATTTCACCAACTCTGTTCTTAACATTTCACATGTCTCGTAGAAGCCTTAAGGGCCAAAATCAGCTTCATCCAATGCTCGATACAATCAAAGATTATGCATTAAAGATTATGCCCAGCTCTGGCCATTACTCACTTTTGCTGATGATTGCGGTATTCCTGTTCTCGTTTGTTGTTGACGTCTGCCAGGTCAGAAGGCTTGAAGGCATTGGAAAATTCTATAGAGTATTCCTGATCAAAAAGCTGTTTCTGAAAGGGCAGTTTCAAACTTGCTTGTACCTCACATTTACAGGAATTTTTAGGAAGAAGCCTGCCAAAGGGACGAAGAGACAGCACTAAACATTGCGGAAGAATGTACCGATTGCTGTAGTTCACAATCAGGCAATGTAGAGATGCGCATCATGCACAGCAAGACGCCTCAGCAAATGATTCCTAAGAATGTTTATGCCTACAATTTAGAGTGTAAATAATTTGGAGTGTTTAAAAAATATTTACTTTACCCCTTAGCTAGGCTGGACACTAACTATGGAAGAAGTGCCCTTGAAAACGCATGAAGGCATACTTAGTATCTGAAGAGCCGGGGAGAGGGAAAGAGGGCTAGCAAAGTTATCTATCATACTGTATGCAACTGTGGCCCTTCACTAAAGGGCAATCCAGGGAAAAGACGGGTTTGGCGCCCCTTCCTCTAGTCGTTCGACTTTGGAATACTGTGCTCTCTGCTGAAAGAGTCATTTGTTTCACCAACCCAAAGACTGACTGGTAGCCGATGATTCTTCTTGCAATGTATATCATACATTTATTGGCACAGATTCAACCGCTCGAGCCCTACCCTGGTTGAAACAAGCGTCAAGTATGCAAGATTTTCTCCAACACTTGCCAACTTAAGATAACAACTTTAAAATAGAAGATCAACTGACTGTATGATTTGCTATGGTGTAATATGAAAGTGGTTTGTCTGTCAAGTCTCCGGACCCTAAATCCAGCCTAAATACAGGGAGTCGTTGAATTACATCCACAAGCCCAAAATGTAGGTTGCTGTGTGAGAAATTTCTTAAGCGAGTCTTGCCCCACTTTACGACTTTCCTTGCCACTTTTGTTAAGTGAATCCCTGCAGCTGTTAAATGAGTAACACCGTTTGTTAAATGAATCTGGCTTTTCTATTGACTTTGCTCGCCAAAAGGTCACAAAAGGGGATCATATGACTCCCGGGATACTGACACCGTCTTAAATATGAACCAGTTGTCAAGCATGTGAATGTAAATCACATGATCATGGGATGCTGCAACAGTCCTAAGTGTGAAAAAATGGCCCCAAGTCACTTTTTCCAGTGCCGTTGTAACTTCGAATGGTCAGTAAATAAACTGTTGTCAGTTGAGGACTAGCTACATGCAGAATGCCAGGTCTCGATTCTCAGTCCTCAGAGAAGTGGGCAGGAAGGGAAGAGAATAACAAATGGGGAAGGGCAGGCAGGCAGAAGGGACAAAACAGAGCTGAACCTCTTGGCAGCCCACTTTTGCAATTTTTTTTTAAAAAGGAAAGAAAGCACACAATTACACAAACAAAATGACCGCAGCATACAAAAAGGGGAAATGTACACTTTGAAATCGACTGGATTTCGTTTGTTTTCTTAGGAAATAGGGGCCACAGGGGTGTAAAGGATTCTGCCTTACTCCAGAATTTCCTCTTTGATCTGGAAAGCAATGTGCTCATATTTCTTGTCAGGCACCAGCAGGTGATCCAGCAACAAGCGCTTGGGAAGCTGATCAGGCCGATGTCGCAGATCCACCACGTTGTAAGGTTTTGGCAACCACACGTGAAAGTACAGGAAAGCCAGAGTTGCTGTCAGCACTATCAGTGCACACATGGACTTTTGGACAGGACGCATCCTGGAGCACAGAGAGAAAGAGAGAAAGTACATAAGACAGCGGCCTCCAACTTTTGGGGCACCAGGAACCTGTTCGATGGGAGAAATGTTTTTCCACAGAATGAAAGGATGTGTGGTTTCGTGTACTGCCTGTATCCCGCAGATGGGGCTTCACTTGTTTGCGCGCCCCAGTTTCTGGCATGCCGCAGCCAAGTGCTGCTCCACTTTGAACCCCTTATTCGCCCTTTCCATCAGAACCAAGGGAAGGAAAGAAATGATGCACAGCTATGCCAATGCCCGCTGAGAACCCACCTGCCTTGCCCATCCCTGCAAAGCAGCCATTCCGTTTGGTTGTCTCCCCTGTGCTCACCCCCATTGCTTGGGGAAAGAACTGGGATCTGAGATTGCCTCCACCCCAACCCATTTTCTTTTCCATTTATGTCCAAGACAGAAGGGACAGTTCAGACATCCAGCCTTTGTTTATCAATTGAGACCGTGGAGCAAGTGGCCATTTTTAAGTTTCTGGGTGTTACCCTAAAAGAGGACCTGCCCTGGGGCGCCCACATTGCGGCCCTGGTCAAAAGGGCCCAGCAGAGATTATACTACCTGAGACTTCACAGAAAACAACAACTGAATGAAAAATGCTGGTGACCTTCTACTGCTGCACCCTAGAGAGCATTTTAACATACTGCACCTCTGTATGGTTTGCCAATTGCACAGTGGCAGATAGGAAAGCACTCCAGAGGGTTAATGTCATTGCCCAGAAGATCACTGGTTGCCCTCTCCCCTCTTTGGAAGAGCTTTATAGCTCCCACTGCCTTAAGAAAGCTCAAAACATTCTCAAAGATCCATCTCATCCTGGGAATCCTTTTTTTGAACTATTATAGACGGTACAGAATAATAAAAACAAGGACAAATAGGCTGAAAAACAGCTTCTATCCCAGGGCAGTAGCTCTTTTGAACTCTACTGTATAGTGCAGTGTTGGTGTGGTGTCGGTGGTTTCCGGTTCAATGTGTGAAGGGTGAAGGATGTGTGTTTGTGTTTATTTTCATGGTCATGGTCATGATGTGCCCTGAAGATGGTGTTTGATTTCGTTGTACGAGGTGCAATGACAATAAAGTAAACTAAGAAAGTTACTGGTAGTTCAGAACTATTTTTGAGGTAAGAGTAGTGTGCTGTCCCAGCCAATCTAAGAGAATTGGTTGGTTACTTAGGAATTATGATCTGTCCCCTTAAGGGAATGCATCATGGTAAATGTAGTTAAAGGCATCCTGGGAATGTAGTACATGTCACATGGCCACATTTGTAATCCTGATTAGGCACTAAATTGACCCTTGAGGGGTTGGGGGAGATTTCCCTGCATTCTTGCCTGGACTCATGAACTGATAAGCAGCTTACCGCTATGAGATAGGTTAGGAAAATAACCATCTTTTACCTGCAGGGCTGATATACAAAGGATTGGTCATTATAGAAGAATTTCATCACAAATGTGAGTCATGAAGATACCTGATGTTCCAATAAATGTACTTCGTTATGGATGTTTTGTGGAATTATCTATCTGCATCTGCACAGCTACAAATCCACCTCTGTGCATGAGACAGGACAGTAAAAGATGAATCCATCTCTCTCTCTGTGAGCATAGGAACTCTTTACATGCTGTGGATGTTGAGAGGTGCTGGAGTTCCTCACATGCTAAAAATAAAGAGATCTTTCTACCCACCCACCCACCCTCTTCTCTGCTCAATTCCTCTTCCTGCTCTCTCAGAGACTCTATTTGCATAACAAGGAGAGTTAGAAAGTTCCCAGTTCTCAAAAGATAATCAAACTCAATTGGAAAGTTTGAGAAATCTCGCTTGTATTTTAAATGGAAACCAGAAGCTGATTCTGCTATGCTCATTTGGAAAGGAGACAAAACCTTTACAACTGATTAAGATACATCGTAGTTCCAGGGAGGGACTAATTTCCCCTCCTTTTCTCTTCAGCGAGAGAAGTGCTTTGTCTCAAAGTACAACTCCTAACTGGGAAGACTCAATTTATAAAACAAAGGGAGGAGCCAGATTTACCCTTCTGCCCTGCTTCTCCCCCCACCCCCAGTTACTACAGTTGAATCTACAATTTTTAGCAACTGAAGGCGATTTGCTATCTTTTTCTTCCTTTTTGCCTTCTGTGACAAAGACTGCATCTAGCTAGCCATTTCAACTAAAAGCTTCCACAGGAAGTCAGTCATTAAAATACCTCATGTTGGGAAGGGCTGGAGTTCCCACATGCTAGAAACAAAGAGCTTTCTAACCCACCCACCCTCTTCTCTGCTCAACTTTCAAAAAACCAGTTTGGCTGCTAGGAGGAATTCTCCCCCCCCCCCCCCTTCCCCCACCCCCCCCAGAGGCTCAGGAATCTGCCTGGATTACAAAAAGGAATTTTAGCAGGACTCTGTAAGATTTTCTGAATCTTAAAGCAGCCCACAGCAACATCTGGTACTCAAAGAAAAATTTCCCTGAGTTTCCAATACGTGTTTGCATTGATAAGCCCTTTTGAAACTATGGTGAACAATTTAATCAATTTATTTCAAATGTTCCAAGATTACCTGCAACCTACCAGACCCAAGTAAAGCAGCTTACATCTCCATCTGGTGGTCAAGAAGAAATTTCCCAGAATTTGCCTTTTTTTAAGTGTTTCTCAAATATTGACCAGAGTAATTATATAATGTCAATCCCCTTTTTTGAAAATATTGTGTACCATTTAATCACTTAATTCAAAGGTCCCAAGAGTAACTGCAACCTAATATGGGCATAGCAACAGCATCTTCTAGACCCTCTGCTACCACCTTGTGAAGCAAGCAACCCTTCTAGGCATATTTTTGCATTCTGCCCTCAAGTCTGCAGGCTACGCTGCGCATATTTCTACGTTCAGCCCTCTAGTTCTCAGACTTCACGACGCAACCTCTAGTGCCCCCTTTTGTCGCAAGCGCACAACGCACCCTAGAAGCAGCCATACCGTGTACTGTGCTAACATTGCCCAGACTCTGCAGTGCCACCTATGTGCTCAAGTATTAAATCCAGCAGCAATTCTACTTTCTGCTACCTGTTTGCAGCATACCCTATTACAAAAAAAAAAAAAAAAGGAATTGCACAAAAAAACCCACTAAATTTTTTCCAAATGTTCCCTTTGCCAATTTGAAGCATGGAAACTTCTTCAGCCATGACAGATGTCTCTGATGTTCCAGAAGACTCGAATCCTCCACCCACCCTTGTTGTAAACATGGAGCCTGGTTCCCAACAACTGCTTTTAGATATCCAACCCTCTGGAGAAGCAGATTTACGTATTACAACAGAGGTGATACAGCAGAAGGCTGAACTGGCCAATCAACAAGCAGAAATGGCCAAAGCTCAGGCCAAATAACAAGCAGAAATGGCCAAACAACAAGCAGAAATAGCTAAAACTCAGGCCCAAGTGGAGTTACTCGAACAACAAAGAGAGATGGCAGCGAAAACAGCACAGGCCGCAGCATGGCAGAAGGCAGCCAATGCTGCCTCTCTCAACTTCAACCTTGACGAGTTGAGAGAAGAGAGTCCAGTCACATGAGTAAAAGCCGAGGTGGATGAGCAGCACTCGCTACAAAATGAGCAGCTGGAACTGCCTCAGTTGCCTAGCAGTCTCCCACAACCAGGGAAGCACAGGGATGAATCTCCACCACAGACTTTACATGTCAGTTACGCTACTGACGTACGACCTAAAATACGAGATTCACTTCCCACCAACAGCAAACCTTTCCCAACTGATGTTGTACATAATAAGGTCCGAGATTCTCTTTACAACACTAGCATCCCTACTCCAACGTCTCATGGCCTGCTAGGTGAGCAAATTAGCCCAACAGTGCTCATGATGACTTCTCAACGAGTTGACATGCCATCAACAACTGCCACACTCAATCCACAGGCAGCAGCATTCCTGCCACAACCTCAATACCAATCCGGCTCACAGGCACCACAAAGTAACCATGCCCAGTCTACACAGCAGCTTGACGCTCGACCGTCATCCCCAGTATGGGAGGACAACATCCTCCGTAAGTACTGGGAGGAAGACTACAACCCGTCGTTGACTTACAACCCGAATCCACCCTACGAGAATCCAGGGGGAGAACCCTCTACATCAATACCTCCCACCAACTCAGCAAATGCTGAAGATTACTGGAGAAACTTGGCTGTACAGAGTGGAAAACTAAATCTGCACGCCAACGGAGTTCGCAGATTCTCTGACAAGCCAGGCAGCGAATATCTAGTTTGAAAGAAACTTTTCCTGTGCCCCATTCCGGTGGCACGCCTGCACCCTGATGAGATAATCGGACACATGATAGCATGGCTAGGGCCACAGTCTTCTGACATACCAAGGGCAATTTTGACATCCCACTTAGGCGACCCAGCCGCTGCCCTACAGTTATTATGGAAAAGGCTTGATGAACTGTATGGCGCTCCTGAGGACGTAGAAGCAACACTCTTCGATAGCCTCAACAGTTTTCCTAAAATTCCTATCGACAAGCCTTGCCGAATCATAGACCTCGCTAACATACTTGTCCAGCTGAGAACGGCACGTGATCCAAACTTACTGACACTCACCTGTCTTGATCACGTTGACAAACGGAACAAAATTGTTCAAAAACTTCCACAGGTGCTAATTGAAAAGTGGCTCCAGTTGACTGACACCTTCATGGCCAAGGGTCGCCACCACTTTGTATCTTTCACACTTCTTGAAGAATTCATCTCCCACCAAGCGACAGTGTGCAACACATACTCAGCCCGTGGACTTAGAGCTGTTAGTCCTCCTAATAACAGAAGAAGCAAACATATATCGCCCTCAGGCCCTATACATACTACCAGAGAAAAACTCTTCATGGTTGTCCATGACATCAAAATTGACTCCTCATCCACACACAGTTGGAGAGAGAACTCCTCAGACACAACCCAAGTTAGATCTCTGAACACAAGGAGAAACCAGTTTTGCCCTATGCACAACACTCGTCACTC